TAGATAAAATATAAAATATAAATTAAGGAAATTAACAATACTAATTAATAGATATCTAATTAACTAATAGATAATTTCATAATGAATTATTGGAAGGGTGAATAACTAAAATAACGAGTTTAATATTAAACATCGGTTAAAACAAGAATCTTGAACATCCCTAACAGAAACAGAAGAGGAAAGCTGTATACTATTGGTCCAGGTGGGAATCTGAAATTTCATTGGCTGAGAGAAATAAGTCCCGCCTCCGCGAAATAAAACCGTGCGACGCAGCTGAGCGAGAGGAGAGACAAACGGCTGTGCAGCACGCAGATACAGAAAGCAAAGACTGAGCGGTTAGAGAGAGAGAGAGAGAGAGAAAAAAACAACGGTCGAGGCCGTGAAGAACCCTGATTTGGGTGCCGCATAGATAGAGGGAGAGGCGGACTTGACTCCTTCTAATAAGAGCTAGGAACTTGGAACCAACGCGGTGAGTAAAGAAAAAAGAAGAGAAAAAGCTAACGATGCAACTTAAAAAAAAAAAAGGAAACTTAAATAGCTTATCAAATTAATTCCATTCTTATAGATTTGTGTGGAGACGACAGAGTGAACCAATCCTCTGTAGGAGGGAACCGTTGGAGCGCGTTGGTGAGTGAATGAGATTAAATTCAGTAAATTATTAAATTCAAAAAGCTAATTACAGCAACCGAGGTGACAGCAGTGGGCTGCTAGACGTTAGATCCCAGGAGTTAACATCTCAAACTACCAGTTAACGGTGGTAGGGCATATAGGAGTTAACGGCTCAAACCGCCAGTTAACGGCGGTACGGCATATGGGATTCCCAGGAGTTAACGGCTCAAACCGCCAGTTAACGGTGGTACGGCCTAGAGGTACAAGGTCCTCAGGGGCGTTATAGCTAACGCCATAGAATTAGCAATGCGTCCCTTAACCAAACATTTAATAATAAAAAAAAATAGATAAATAAAAATAAATAAAAGCTAACTGATTAGGGAGGAATTATTTTACAAAGGTGGACCAAAGGACCAGAATTTATATTTTGTTTAATTTTGTTATAGAAAATTTTATTTATTTATTTATTTGTTTGTTTGTTTATTTATTTATTTATTTATTGTGTTACAGATATACAAGGTGTCACAATGCTGTATAGAAACACAACTAAATGTATCCTTGTTGTCATGAATGTATTTCTTGTCGAATAGTGTAGAGTAATAGAATCTAACTGAGCCTATTGAGCTGAACAATTGTTGTCATATGTAATTATATTTCCAGAGCTACTGAGAATTATTTTAATAGACAATCAAATTGATGTTATGTTAGTTGAACTGTGAACCCAAACATGATTGGCTATGCCAATAGAGTGAAGCATTTGTTTAAGTCTGTAAGACTTTATGCTGTGATGTGACGAGAAGGGTCGATGCCAACTTGCTAACAGTCCTGTTGTTTACAGGCTGGGTTTTTTTTTTCCTTGGGTTTGATCCCGACTCCTATGATCACTCACTTGGAACGAGAACTGGATTTCTTCCTGACGAGGGAGATGGCGAGCCTTAACCACTGAACGAACCAGGACATCTCAAGTAACTGAAGAGCAGACTGCTCTCTTCTGTGAACAATCTCAACGGTGTGGTAGGAAAAAATCGCACCACCGGACTCTGACTTTCACCCCAAGCGTGGGGATTTGACTTGACGCCGGCTGACTTGTGACTCATATGATCAAATCTCATACCGACCATTTTACTATTGTCGATTGTTTTCATCTGTTTTTGTGTGTTATCTTTATGTGTTATATTTCCCATTATTATTAAAATTTAGTATATAAACCGTTTCATGCTATACCCGTGACTCCAGTCATTCTTAAACAACCTCCAATTCTCCCCGAACCTAATTATTGGCCCATTTGTTTATTTTTTCTTTTAATTATCTTATTGTATCCTGTAATCCGGTTACATAAAACGGTTCTAAATCTTTGGGCGATGCCATAATAGACGCCATTCTACGGGAGCTCGTGAGGACCAAATGCATTTACTGATTTGTAACAAAGAACTACAAAGCTTTCACCATTCATAAACATGGTTGCTTTTCACATTCACGTCTCCACTTGTTGCCAGTGATGAGAGGGAGTCTGACGTGCTCGTCGTTTTGCTGGAGGCTGTTCTCCTAGATGTTTGCTCCGCACCATGGGTCCCCAGAAGAACAAAAAAATGAAGGCAAGTCAACGGGGCTAAAAACAGTATTTTCTAATTCTGCTTGTTTTGTGCCATGGATTTCACATATGTCTGTGAATTTTATAGGGGAATTATGGAAGTCTGACAGCCAAAACATGTATAGAAATAATAAATATCTTCTTCATACATTCTCCTGCAATGCCCTGGTCCTGTAGAATGAGCCCTGGCATTTTTACTGTGATTGCCTGTTTTTCTGTTAAATCACAGAAAAAGAGTTGCTCAGGTCGAGCAGGCTGCTTCACGCTCAGGCATAGCCCGTAGCATTTGCTATCCATAGCTTTAGTCTTTGTCGCTGTTCCTAACGCCTAATGACAAAGCTAGCTACATTTCTGAGGACCCTTAGCTACTTTCTTCTAGATATTTCCTTCAAATTAGCAACAAAATAGCCATTTTCATTCCGAACCGTTCTTTGAATGTTGTTTCAGCTGTCATCAAGGATATAAATGTTACAGATACAATCAAGATCACTGGTGCTTTAGCTCACCTAGTATGATACCGGACTCTTATGCAGAAGACTCGGGTTCGATTCTGGATGTCAACAGAGTTTATTAGAGTTTATTTTTTACATTAATGGTATATTTTTTTACAGTAAGATGCCCAAATTTTTATTTGAGACTCGCCAAACGGCATTGAATTCACAGATAAAAAAGATGTGGGTTCAACTTTCATTTTGGAACAATTTTTCAAGCAAGGGAAGGGAATGATCTGAGCATGCAGGGAGATTGACCCATCATAAACCTTTGTCAGCTGTGCTGAAGAGAAAGGTGCAGAACCAAATTATTTAATTAGCTGCGCGTTCTCCTGTGCTGTGTCCTCCGGGCCACACCCCCACACACCCACGGGACTGTGTCAGCTGTTATTTTCGTTAAGGAGTGTGCACGTACAGCTTGTGCGCCTCGTGCACGAGCCTACTATTGAAGCTGCTGTTACGCTTTTGGCCTGAGGGGGCAATCGCGAGCATAAAAATTCAAAACTCCGTAAAGTCCCTTTAAAGACGCTTTTTGATACCAAGAACACGCTTATTTTCGAACGGGTGATACTTTTAGGTTTTGTGTGAAAATAAGTTCAGGACTACAAATGCGCTTCATGAATATGACGTCATCGAACCAGACATGGAGAAAACGGAGGGAAAAGGGCTGTAAATTAAGCAAACTTCCCACAGGAGGAAATAACCACCATAAATCTGGTCATTTGATAGGTAGCAGCTACCTTGGGGAGAGGAGATTATGTGGTGACGTCATATATGCGACGTGCCGATTTCTAGTGTGTAGTCATGCCAATTACGAAATTTTACAACCTAATTAATCTCAAAGTACGTGACAGGCGTGGTCGAAACACCCATCAATAGTTTCCATTGAAATTGCAGTACAACTCATGTGTGACCCAGGGCGTAAGGCAAAGTGGATTCGAAAATAGCGTTTTTAGCCCCGTTAACTTGAGTCAATTTTTTTATTCTTCCGACCCATAAGGCAGAGGTGAATTAGGCTCACTATACTTCCACCCTTGCGCCCTTCAAATGCGCAATCCCAACCAGGGGTGCAAGTGCGTAGGGTACCCCAAATCTCAAGTGCGGAAGTTGATCACGCCCCTTTTTAACTCTTGTTCCGCACTTCACCCAAGTCTGCAGCGGTGCGGATTTGAGTGAAGGGTATTACCCACAATCCATTGCTATGGGAGAAGCGGCTCATGTTCTTTTTCTGAAAATATGTATTTTCTAATGAAAGCAGTTCATTTTAGGACAATTAGTATACATGTAAATTTATTTCAAATAATTGTTTGGAAGTTGTTAAAGGTTTTTTTAAAACAGTACCACAGCGACCAGCATCCCGGCATGCTTTGCGGCCGATGCTCCCCGTCTTAATTTGGCAATTAATTGCACACTTGTGTACTACGCACTCGAAGCCTTACAGCTCACTTTCTCCAAGTGCACTTTGATGAAGGCCGCAGTGCGAGTATGGAGATTGGGCCTAAATCAGATTATTTACATCTCAAATAAATTCCCCCAAAACTACAAAACCCACAATGCACCTGTCCTGAGAACTTTCTCCAATCTCAGATGTGCCATTTCTATAAATGACGGCTTCCAATGTACGTTTATCTACTTTCTGCTTGAATTCTGTTATTTTAAATAATACATTTGTATTTTCAGTTAGGGATTTTATAAAGTTTAATAATAATAATAATGCATTGAACTTATATAGCGCTTTTCTAGACACCCAAAGACGCTTTCACACACTCTCACATTCACACACTGCTAGTGATGGTAAGCTACTTGTAGCCACAGCCGCCCTGGGGAGGTCTGACAGAGGCGAGGCTGCCATTGGGCGCCGTCGGCCCCTCTGACCACCACTAACACAGGCAAGTTGGGTGAAGTGTCTTCCCCAAGGACACAAGAGCAGGATACCCCTGGCGAGAGCTGGAATCGAACCCATGACCCTCCGATCATGAGACAACCCGCTCTACCACCTGAGCTACTGCTGCCCCAATGGCCTGTGCTGAAATTTTTTCATAAATCTGGAAAATATTGAGACAAGTAATCAGTTTTATTAGCATCTAATTGAAATTATTTAAATATGAAAGTCAAACTGAATCATGTTTGTTGTGAAAGCTAAATAAATCTTGTAAACGGTTAAAATTTCTATAAAAATAATTAGTTAATTTAACTGGAGGATGTTAATAATCAACCACAATTAATTACTAAAAGCCATTAAAGTTCATCTCCAGCTTTCATCTGCAAAAAAAAAGTTAGAAAAGAAAAAATAAAAACAGGCAAACAGATTTTACAGTATGAGGAACTTTTTATTTAATTACATGTGTATAATTCTGTTTCTGTTAATGGTTTAATTCATAATACCCATAGAATATACGGACTATAACCGTCAATAACTCATATCTCTGACAATCTCAGTAAATAATCTTTTAAAATAACTCTTTAGAAGACATTTAAGGGGGAACGAAACAATATGTAAGTTTCAGAAAGACTGAAAACACTGCCAACAATAACACCTGAAAGAAAAACCCCAAATAAAACATACTAATAAAAAATATATATTTCAAACTCCCTTTTACATAAAAATTAATACAACATTTCACCAATATAACAACGATAACATTAATAAGAACAGCCATTTAAAAGCAACGTCAGGAAAAGGGCCCGGTCCATACAGTGTGTGATTAAGTGCAACTTGTCCAAAAAAAACGCTGACGCGCTCCTCAGAAACATGAGGGTGTGTGTGTGTGTGAGAGAGAGAGGAGGACCGTAGGATGGCAACCTTCTAGTTTACCCAGATCAGAGAAAGAAAACCAAAACAAAGCGTACACGAAACCTCCAGAGCTGTGTCAGAGCCAGAGGACCCAAGAAAACCCCACAAACACACAAAGAAGAGCCTTGGCTTTATGGAGTAGATACAAACAGTCTTACACTGATGGACACTTGATTAGTTATTAACGCACAAGAAACGGAAAGCTTTACAAGCAGGACAGAAGATATGAAGGCCTTAAAAAAGGAATGAGGGGGCGTGGCTTGAAAGACAAAGTGCAGACGTGCTGATTGAGTCGTGTGACTGCAGGTGTCCTGCTGTGCATGATCCAGATGAGCCAGAGAGAGAGAATGGTTTTCTGAGTGGAGTCAGACTTTAAAAGGAGGAGGAGGAGGAGGCAGCCCTTTGAGTAAAGCATGGTGGGAGTTGAGCATGAATAATCATCACTGCACATCAGTCCCAGAGCGCTGGCTATGGCTTCAGAGAGAACAGTGGCCGATGCAGCTCCTAAAAACAAACCAGGCACGCTCACGCCAGTCGGATCTGCATTGCAGCACCTAAACCAGCATTCCAGCGCAGGGTTGGTCCATTTTTGCAGGCTTCTCTTTTACTGGTCCCAGTGGAACAGGCAAAAACATTAAAGCAGACTGGACAGGACCCGAGACAGGCGGAGCGCATTGACGGCCGATGGAGGAGTAATACTGAGGCACACTCGCAGAAGAAATGAGCACAACCGTAGCACTGCATCACTCACGATGAAGCGTACACATCCTGTTTGTTAACCGTAACCATGACAACGCAGAGAGGTCAAGCAGAAGCACAGCTACAAGCAGAGGGAGGGAAAAAAACTCATGCGACTACTGCTCAATCATTTTGTTGTCGATTAAACACTCAAACATTTTCTGCTGTCTGAGCGAGTCGGATCACGAGTGCATTCCATTGTAATGAACAAATACCAGTTCCTTTAACGGTACACGGGTCAACCGAGGGGTTGCGGGTCCGGCTGAACAACTACTGAGGGGTGAGTAGCTCCCAAGTCACCCGCCTCCGTAGAGCAACAGGAGAGCTTTAAACTTACGGCTCGGGGGTGGGGGGGGTGGGGGGGTGGGGGTCAGGAAACACCTCAAAGGTTCAGGAGAATGAGACTTTGGTGTCACAGCTGAAACTTTATATCCAATTATTTACGTAGCATCTGATGTACGTTCTTCTCTGCCACTTTGGTAAATCCCAGGATTGCATTCTTTAAATGAGCATCACAACATTTCTTTTGCCTGAAAACAAAAACTACACAGAAATCCTGCCAACATGCCTCTAAAAACATTGGACGTTAGCCTAGAAATCAAGCGTTCGAACAGAACTCGCGAATAATTAACTCCAAAAATACTTTCACAAACAAAACCTGCAACAAGCACATTTAAAATCAAACAGACCAACCAAAGCTTTTATATTTTCTATGTACATGCACACACCCTGTTAGCATCGCTGTTCTTTTAGCCCTCAGTAAGAATAGTTCACATTGATCAAGACTTGAGTGAGCGTTAGGGTGTTGGTTAATACAGTAGTCGGGGTAGAAACGAGAGCGGAGTAACCGATGAGAGACAGATCGATGAGGAGACGGCGGACGTAAGAAAAAAAGAGTGAAGAGGGACTTTGAAGAAGAAAACAGGCATGAGGCGAGGTGAGGAGTTCACCGCGGACCTAACGGGCTTGGACAGACGCCATAACCCCACCCAGCCACAGACATCTAACTTACACTTAAATCTCCCTCGCAGTAGGAAATGCAAAGATAAGCAGTTAAATGTTCATATTTCCTGTTTTCACTTGTTGGTTTCTCGAAGATGCAGGTTTTTTTTCTTTAAGCATGTCGTTCAGGGTCTTCTTGATCCAAGTCCGTGTGTGGCCTCGTCACAGGTTAGGACTAAGAGAAAATTAAATAAAAGACAGAAGTTAAAAAGACCAATAAAAAGGATTTATTGACCATTTGAAGCATGTTTCTGTGTTAAACTAAAGAAATAAATAAATAAAAGAGGACATCTTACCAATTGAATGGCTTGTTTGGACAGACAGCATGTACAGCCAACATGATTGACACGCTAAAGGCTAGAACAAAGGCAGCCAGCATCAAATTGGAACGCTGCTATATTTATTAAAAGGCTGCAAACTCTTAAATTGCAAACAGATTCTTACGTGTAAAATAATAATTTATACTTTTAACCAAGACACATACTTCTAAATTGCTATTTCACCTTCACTAACACAAGTGTGTTTACATACAAATGAACAAAAAACAAAAAAGTTTAATGTATTGAAGTTCACGTGAGCATTTTCCTAAATACCAGCTTTAACATTTAACACATCTTACCGAGTCAACCACAGCAGGGCGACACTTCCCTGGAGCAGAATTAACAAACGTCACATCGACTGAGAGGCCAACAGTCTACGCAAGGCTCTGAGCTGTAAGTACCTTAATATTAGGGCTGCAGAATATATCGAAAAATTATCGTCATTGCGATAACAGGACGTGTGATAGGCCCATCGCAAAGCACGTCAAAAACGGCGATAAATGTTTGGTTCAACATTTCCATCCGTGTCATACATCAACGTTTTATAAACCAGCTCTGTTTTTTACGCGGAAGTATTATTTGACCAATCAAATGTAGCCCTTCTGATATGTGGCCAATCAGATGGGTCCGTTCACGTAAGACGCCCGCCCCCTACGTAGACCCTTAGGATGGAAAGCAACACCCGAACTGAGTTAGCGGCGCCGTTCCCTTGTTCGTCATGCTGGCTCAGAGCAACAAACACACTTTGTGCTGAGGGTTCTGGAACCAGCGCTGCTTTCAAACGTGAACGTGACTCTGCTCGGTGTCGTTAATCATTTTTACCGGGCTGACTCCGACACGTGCTGGTGAACCATGTCGCTAGTGTTCCACCGGGTGGTGATGTTAGCCCCAGGCTCCAGTTAGCTTCCAGCTAAAAGGCTACAGCACTCTCCTCCCAGTCCCACCCTGCTAAAGAGGGCCTGGAAAAGTTCCCCCACACATCAAAGTGATTTTTCCTTTATGAGCTTTTATAACCTTGTTAATCAGGATAGTTGATTTGCTGCTGCACATAAACTGTCAGTCAGAAGCTCTGCTAGCCGGTTATCTTAAGAGGAGCTAGTTCAATTTGTTAGCTTGTCATCAGAATCATAGTTGCAGTTTAATCATCTGAGCTGCTTTTTAAGATCTAGGTAAACTTGTTCAATTTGGGGTTAAAAACAAACGTTTTCACATATTTTCCATGTAGTTTTTTTGCCAGTTCCTCTTCTGAAAGGTAGACAATTGCTTTTCTCTTTCCCTCAGAAAATCTTAACATTCTCCTAGTTTGGCCCAGCTCAGATCACTTCCCAATTACAGCAACAGCCTTATATCATAACCACATAAGTGGAGAAAATGTTCAGTAGCAATGAGAGAATTTGCTGTTGCATTTAAGTGATGCTAACTATTATTTAACATTTAAACTTATTTTCAGAATTTTTTTATTTATTCAAAAACCCTGGTAAGGGATGTTTTTCTGTATTTGGAGCATCAGAAAAAGTTTTATGGTGGAGGTGATGTTTTAAAGTCACTGAGAAACTGCATGCATGCAGTTTGTTGTTTTGCTGCTAATGCAGTAGCAGGTGCAGCTGCATAATTTTGCAATAAAAATGTTATGTTGTAATGGAATTCATGCATTAGTTTTTGTTTGCTTTGAACCCAGAGCAGATGTCACACGCCAGGCGACATCAACACTGCATACTTTAGTATTTGTTCATTTATCGCGAGTAATATCGATATCGCAATATTAAGCACTGTTATCGAATATCGCAGGTTTTCCTAATATCGTGCAGCCCTACTTAATATTAACTGTGGATGTTCTCCACTGATATCTAGTGGCCATAAATGGAAATAAAATCACCAATCAAATTAAAGCACAGAAGAATAAAACTGATCAACTTTAAACATAAAGATATAAGGATATAAACATAAGATTATCTTCCCAAATATAACTTCTACCTTTAATTTCCTTCTTATAAAATATATGAATCAAACACCAGGCCATGTCAGTGTCTGGCACTTGACATGATATAATTCAATGTTTGCTGTAGTCTGTCTAGGGCTGTCTAGTTCACTGAAACTACAACTCCCACAATGCACAAGGACAGTCGGCCCTATAACAAGCCCGTAAATCATGGCTCTTCTTATATCTGTGAAATTTCAGTGTAAATACTTCTACGTCTAAAACAATGAGTAAACCACCGTCTTTCTCTTTCTTTAGAGCATCACGGAGGTCAGGCAGCTCTGGATGTGGACTGTGTTTTTTAAATTTTGAGTGTGGCATCCCTGCTGTGGAGGCAAAGCCTCACGCCTTACTAACCCGTCTCAGGAGAACTGGAAACGAGCCGTTTCTTCAAAGATCATCTCCTTCAGCTTCTCCTTGGGAAGATCATCCAGCTCCATACTGAAAGTGAAGGGCTCCTCTGCCACGGGCTAGGGATAAAAACACGGAAACAACAAGCTAGCAAAGGGCCACGGCTGAGTGTGCACTCTGGTTTTTTCCATTGCCTCTATTTACACTCACGAGTTTCCATGTTAGGATGTCATAAGTGTTCACATTTCCCAACTTTTTATTGAGCTGATTTATTGAGCAGAGCTAAGAGGCTTCCAGGAACTAAAGTAGAACAGCTTATAAACAAATCCTGACCGGGGGTAGAAAAACAGAAGCTCCGCCCCCGCTGGGCTTGCTACAGTCATGGATCACAGCCTGTTCAGGAAACCTCCTCCTGTGTGACAATCGTCAATTTGCTGGACTGTGAACTCGCCCTCTAGCTCCTGGTCAGTTAATACAGAAGATAATAGATCATCTATCAAGTCATTCAAATTTCAATATTAGCATCACCCAGGATTTCAATTTTTGATTTTGTCTCCTAAACATCACAAAAATGATGCAAATAATTAAAACCAACTGTGAAAATTAAAAATCTCACGCCCTGCTCATGATCTGTGATGTGGTTCGATATTGAAGCATCAACACTTGAGCTTCCCCAGCAGCTTTTTATGTAAGGAGAAAGTTGTCTGGTGTGTTTTCTGTTCCGTTTCTGTCGGCTACGGAGACTTCACAGGTAACGACCAACTCTTTATGTTCACTAATTAAGGAACTGGAAACCTCTATGTGACTTATATCCAAAGTTTCCAGATGTTTTAAACTACTTTTGTGTTTGACTTACTGTCTGTCTCGATCTGAACTGCTGAGATTGACGCCTTCTGGAAGTGCAGTGCATTAAAAAAAAAAGACTCGAAACATAATATGTACGCAAACGCTTCTTGAGTTCAAAACACGACGCTTCGCAGCTGGTGGAAATGCACCCATTAACTCTAATGGCAGAGGATTACTGCGTACTACACTTTGTAGACATTATGCATTACGCATCCGGTGGAAAGCCCAAGACTGTCGGTCAGAGGGAAAATACAGCCGAGCCAGTGTTGTGGGGCAGTGCCAGAGTGACAGAAACAGACTGTGGGTGAAAATTCAGCAGGAGCAACATAAAAACAAAAGTTCCACACAGAATCTTAATAATTTAGCCTTTACACAAGCCCACTGAACTGCTGTGTATGAAATGTGCTGACCAGTCATCACCAGGGGTGTTTCTCAATGCCAAGGAACCTCGCCTTGATGCATTGGCCCCGCCCCGGTTGCCTAGGAGATACGTCATCAGGAGCCGCCAAGACATGTTCCAATGTTCATGTTCTACCGAGGCCTGTGTTCTCCGTTTGTTAGCCGTTTAGCTAGCTGAGCAGGGATACACAGGAGGTGTATTGTAGCCTAGCCTTGGTCAAAAATTACCCAGAATACACCACAGTATTTTCAAAAGGATGCCGGATCAACTTTGGGGGCAAATTTCAAGTTTAAAAGTTAAACTAATTTATAATGTTTTTTTTTTAGATCTAAGGTTGGTTAGTGGCTTATTAGTTGCAGCTTCGGTAGCTAGCGGGTAGTAACATATATTTAATTTAATAAACATATACACAATTTAAAAAGTAAAAGGCTCGTTATATATTTATATTGAAACTGATATGTATAAAATATAAAGTTATCTCCCGTGTCACGTGATGATACGTGACCGCCGTGGACGCCGAGGTCACGTGATGCAAGTCTGTTCCACTTAGCCATATTCTTTGACCAAGGAAGGACAGTGTCCTCGTAAGCAAGGTGTCTGTCCTCACATGACATCGCCTCGCAAGGCCAGGTGCCTTGACATTGAGAAACACTCCACATCTCAATGTTCTATCAGAATGAAAGTGGTGAAGCTGCTGCCACCTAGCGGCTGGAGTTTGAATTGCACCACACAAAAAATACAGTTAATGTTTGTATGGAAATTCTCAATAATAATAAAAATATATATCAATATACTGCGTTAAAATATTGATTTATTATCATAACACAAAAACTATGATATTTCAGTGTATCAATATTTTCTGACATCCCTAACAGAAGGATGTTAGAAGTAAGGTGAGAGATCTGGTGCCTCATGACTTATTTTTTAGAGCTGCACCACAAAGTTCCCAGTGTGTTTGGGGCTTAAAGTGACAGTGTGTAAGACCATACCAACGGATGCCCATAAGGGTCAAAAAGCCCTGGGGAGTGCAAACTTCAGCTAAATAACGAGCACATCAGACTTCCTTTCATCACTGGCAACAAGTGAAGAGGTAAATGCGTAAAACAACATTTAAGAGTGACGAAAGTTTTGTAACCATTTGTTACAAATCAGTAAATATATTTTGTCCTCATGGGCTCCCGTAGAAGGAAAAATGACATCCAATATGGTGTCGCCCAAAGACTTCGACCCCCTCCCATGTTTTTTAGACCTGATCTTTGTTGGTTATGTTACAAAGATGCCAATATTTTTCAACAACATTTTTTTGATGGATGTTTCCAGAAATTAATGGTAAAAATTACACACTGTCTCTTTAAGAGGACAAGTCTTACATCTCCAGGAGAGAATTTTGTACTTTCTCAAAACAATAAGACAGCTTTTTTGACACTGCAGCGAGGCCTTCATCCTGTGTGGAGAGTTTGTCACAAAAAGTGAAACCATTAAAACATATTTACCTCATCTGTGGGATCATAATACTGCTCCAGATACAGGTGAGCCAGGGCCTCGTCAACAGTAATGCGCTTGTTGGGGTTAAAGGTCAACATGAAGCCCAACAGCTCCAGAGCTGCATTAAATCATCCCAGGTTCAGTCAGTCACCAAGTTGTTCAACATTACAAAAAGCTGACATCAATATGATTTTCTCGTTTCTCTGAAAGCAACCAGCTCACTGTTACCTTTGGGGTCTGACTTTTGGAAGAGCTTTTCCAGGGGGACCTTGTCTCTGTCCGGCAGGGACTGCAGGTAGTTCCTGGCCTTTACGTTAATGATGCAGTTCAGATCTTCTTCAGATGGCGAGCCAAGAATGCCTGCACACAGAGCAGAGCGGTAGTATCTCTGACAACACTTTGATATGATCGAGAGGAAGAAACATCCATCGTCTCTCACTTAAGATGTGGTTGAGCTGATCCAAGTAGTGTTTCCCAGGGAATATTGGCCTGTTGGAGAGCATTTCAGCTAGGATGCAGCCCACAGACCAGATGTCAATGGACTTGGAATAGCCCTGAGACACACACACACACACACATACACACCCAGTTGTGAAACTAATCCAACACACACAAAATCACCTGAGTGAGTCCCACTCATACCTTAGAGTTGAGCATGATTTCTGGAGCCCTGTACCAACGTGTTGCCACATATTCAGTCAGGAAGCCGGTGTGGTCGTGTTCAGGATCGGCTATCCGTGCCAGCCCAAAGTCACAGATCTATGCAGGGAGGCAGGGTTCAAAGGCCAAAATTAGTAGAGCAATCTCCTCAGAGGACAAAAAGGATTTGATTAAATATTCCAGAAACTCTTTTTAAAGATAATTTCTGAAATCTTGATGCACTTTTAAAGTCTCACATGACATAATTTAACTTGTTCAAGCAGAATAATGTGTTGATTCATAAATGGACTGAAACTATCACAATTAGGAATTATGAAAGTTTATGCAAAAAAACTACAAATAAATATATTTAAAGCACAACAATCGAACTCTTCTAGTGATGAAACTAAGCCACACATGCACAGAACAGCTAAAACCTGTTAAAGATTTGGAATAAACTCTATGGTTTAATGTCACATCAATTATAGTTTTAATCAGCTTTAACATGAAAAACATTTTTTTTTTCATTTCAGACCTTCGGTAGAATCGTAAAAAGGAAACAAGAACTTTTTACAACACCTGAAACTGTCATTTGACTGAGTTCACACACTTCTGATTTTAATCAAGTGTGTGTGTATTTCTTTAATTTAACCATCACATAGATACTGTGATGGGTTTTGAGCAAGCCCCCACAATGCTGCTCTGAAATTGGGCCCAACCCGGAAGTACCAACAATTGCAGTTCCACCCTCATCCACTGGGGGCTGGTGTCAGAAGCGAGCAAATCCTCATTGACTCCCATGTTAAAAATACCAATTTCACAGCAGAAATAAACATGTTTACAGCCTGGTACCAAAACATGTTTTTGGTTTAAATGATCTAGTTTACACTCATGACAACTCTGAGGGGGGTGAATTTTTTTCTCACTCTTCTGTTTAAGTGTATTAAAAGCCTAAAATTCTGTATAATTAATGAGCATCAGACACACGTGACCACAGAGCTAGCTCCGTGGAAAGGCCTCAGTAGAGCCTCGGTCTGGCCTGGAAACTGTTCCGGCATTTTGAGTCTCTGTGTGTGTGTATTCTTTTTTGGATATTTTTTGTCCAATTGTTGGACAAAATGACTTGCTGTGGCATTAATTGCACTAATAGAGCGTCCAAGTAGTCTCCACTTCATTTTTTTCGGTAAGTAAAATTATATTTATGTATTTTTGGTCACTGCCGAGCTGAGCTTAGATTTTAACATGTACTGTTTAACCATGAAATTTAAATGTAATAGGGTAAAACCCAGTGCATTTAACATAATGCTGCACTTTAGAAAATGGGTTGAAATATAACATGTTGGTGGAGCTGGGTTCCTACTATCGGCTTCTGGAGCTCTCGGGAGACCAATGTTTTCCATCCATTTCTCCCCTCCCCGCAGCTCAGCGCATCTCTGTCTGATCGTGGTTTCTGTGTGCTGTGCGGGCTGACGGCTTGTGGAGCTCTGGATGGAAACCTTTCCACCCGGTTCTCCCCAGCAGTAGCTCTGCACATCTCAGATCGCAGCGGCTCTTGTCTACTGTGCGGCTGCCGGCTTGTGGAGGTCTCGGAGACCTCTGTGTTCCACCCGGTTTTACCCAGCGGTCAGCCCGGCGTATCTCTGACTCAGAAGCTCTGGTGTTGTGCACAGTTAACTCCGGTTGTAGCTAGGTTGCTACCTCCGTTAGCTTAGCTCCCACCTCCGCATTAGTTTTGGGTTAGCTTCAGGTTAGCTTGTAGCTAGTTCGAGCGGGTGTCGTCAGTTGATCCCAGCCTTACAGCCCCACCCTCAGCTCCTCCTCTCTTCCCTTTTGTGGAATTGTCTGGGCTTGACGGAACCTGTGACACGGTCAAAATGGTGGTGGTGGCCACCTCCCATTTTAGTACAAAAATGTGATATTGGAGCCTATGGAAAGGAGATGTCCAGTATATTTATGTCGATGGTTTTTTGAGCACGTTGCTTACAGCCAATTCAAAGTGCTGCAGCTAAACTCATCACTGAGACCAAAAAGCCATTTAAAATTATTCTTCTGTTGTACCAAACATTTACCAGGACCAATTCCCTTTATCAACCAAACAACCAACCAATCACAGGTTTATCTGTGTAGCACTTAAATGCCCAAAGTGCTTAACATAATTTTTTTTAAAATACAATAAAATGACAACAGTCAATTAAAAAACATAAAATAGGCACACAAATAAAAATCTGACACAGAGTCAGGTGTTAAAAGCTTTGGAGTTAAAATAGTTCTTCAGTGACTTTTTAAAATTAGCAATAGAGGATGCCTGCGTAATGGTAACATATTCCAAAGACTAGGTGCCACCACTGAGAAAGACCTAAAAGCTCTTCTCTGTAGCCTCGCCCTAGGGACATTCAATCTAAGTTAGTCAGCCGACCTCAGTCCACGAGATTGAACATAATGAGCGAGAAGCTTGGAGAGATAGACAGGTGCAAGGCCATTTAAACATTTATAAGCCAGAACTAACATCTTAAATTGCACACGGAACCTAACCGGAACCCAGTGCAGAGAGGCAAGAACTGGAGTGATGTGATCAAATCTACAAGTACCAGTCAAAAGACAGGCTGCAGCATTCTGAACTAGCTGCAACCTAGCAATACACCTTTGATTAATGCTGTGGTAAAGACTATTGCAATAGTCTAAGCGAGAAGTTATAAATGCATGTATAAGCTTCTCCAAATCATCCTTAAACAAAAAAGACTTCACATTGTATCTCAGCTGAAAAAAGCATGATTGAACAACATTAATGACTTGTAAATGAAAATAAGATGAGAATCAACCTTAACACCCAGATTAGACACCACACCTTTGAACAATTTGAAAGGCCATTCACCAATGACTGAGGAAATGCAAGAGAACCACTCAGTGCCAGTATAATTAGCTCAGCCCTAGTATCGTTAATCTGCAAGAAATTACAGCTCATCCAGCCCTTAACCTCATGAAGACACAATAGCTATTTTCTTAACTTTAGTGGGGGCATAGACTTGACAGTCATCGGCATAAAAATTAAAGTCAAGGCCATATTTCTTAAAAATAGCACCAAGTGAAAGCAAATATAGATTAAAAAGCAGAGGGCAGAGTACAGAGCCCTGAGGGACCCCATATTTAGGAAGAGCATCACTCGAGCTAAAATTTCCAATCTTAATCGTCACATACCCATCTGACAGATAGGAACTCATCCAACGCAGTGCTGAGCTAGTGATACCCACACACTTCTCAAGACGATCAAGAAGAATAGCATGATAAAGAGTATCAAAGGCCGCAGTCAAATCAAGGAGCAATAAAAAGAGAGTCGCCCACATCAGTGTAAGTGTAAATATCATTAAACACTCTCACAAGCGCAGTCTCAGTACTATGCTTTGCTCAAAAACAAGATTTAAAGACTTTTAAAACGTGGTTAGCATCTAGATAGTCTAAGCTTAAAAACAACTTTCTCAAGAACCTTTGAAAGAAATGGAAGTGTAGAAATAAGCCGATAATTCGAAAATACAGAAACATCAAGACCCGGTTTCTTATAGGTATAGCAGAGGATGTTTCTGAGTTTCAGGAAAGAACCGCCCACTCCTCGTTTTGGAAGAAAAAATTCACACGAGAAAGAATGCCCAGTTATAGTTACCCCTGCTTTCCACAGGAGCCGTCAGCAGCACGTTACTGCAGCAGCACGTCTTGCTTGCGTAAGCTGCTGCTTGGCCCTTCCCACGAGACGCGAAGCAGCAGGGGAGCAGCTGTCACCGACCGAGCACGAAGTCACACGAGTGACTTCATCAGTAAACACAACAACAAGCAGGAGAAAACTACAACATGGCTCCAAAAGGTTTGTGTTTTATGTTCTGTCCGTTTTATAATCGCCAATACGGACCTGAAAAACAAAGGAGACCGCTAGCTAGGTGATAACTTCTCACGGGGCCGAACATTTAGTAACTTTTTTAAAAAGTAAAGCAAAGGAAGGCAGTACATTTCTTTATTCTGAAAATCTCGGGAGCTTCTCTCCATTTCCGCGTCCAATTTCCTGTCTTTCCTTTCCCAAAAATGTCGAACTTGACCCGTTTCAGAGGCGTCGCGCGTAGAAAATAGAACCGGCGCGTAAAGGCCGCGACATGCTGCTCCCGAGACGCGGCCGACTCGCGCTGCTGACGGCTCCAGTGGAAAAGGTTCTGTTGACCACAGCGGTTCCTATCAGCAGCTATGACGTGCTGCTGCAGTAACGTGCTGCTGACAGCTGCTGTGGAAAGCAGGGGTCACAAGTATCTGCCGGCCTTGCTGCCAACTTCTTCTTCTAGCAATAATCTGAAATGAATTTCTCCAAATAGTATGCCATACCTTAGCTTACCTGTCGAACAGAAAACCGGCGACAGAGGCATCTGTGGGGAGCCCAAACTTCGCTTTGCGCAGGAAGTGAAAACTACCCAGCAACGTATGACGATGGCCTTGCGTGAATGGTTCACCAGAATGATTGACAGTTAAGCAGACCAATGGTTCGAATCATGCACCCAGAAGAAAAAGGTCCTCTGCTATACCCTTAATAAGGGGTTTGATTACAGCTCGTTTCAAGCTCTTTGGAACTTCACCAGAATGCAAACTAGAGTGAATTACATTATTAACCACATTTGGCCAATAGCTGGCCAAACTTTCTTGATAATACAGGATGGCATTATGTCAAGCACAGCGCTTCATGGTTCCTTGTAAAGCAGTTGATAAACGCTAGCGGCGTGCGTTGGCAAGAATCAGGCGATACGACATCACAATACAGGCAAGACTGAACTAAAGGCAGCAAGATATTTGCAATTTTCAAGACTTAATTTCTCCGTAAAACTCAGGCTAGACTCTTCTGAGACACAGCCAGCATTATCGCGAGAGCTCATTGTTCCGTCATGCCTGAAAGTCTGCACCATCAAAGTACTAGCTACTCGCTCTTTTGGCAGAGTGGAGGAGTCATTACCTTGAGGTCGCAGGTGGTGTTGATGAGCAGGTTGGAGGGCTTGAGGTCACGATGCAACACGTTGGCAGAGTGGATATACTTGAGGCCTCTCAGCATCTGGTAGAGGAAGTAGCAGACGTGGTCGTTGCTCAACTTCTGGGTCTTCAGCAGCTTGTACAAGTCTGTCTCCATGAGAGTCTGCACGATGTAGCTGGATAGACGCACGAGTCAAGGAAGACGAGCAAAGATCTGGCAGCATCCATACAGAGAGTCTAAACATTTATGCAGTTCTAATGAAGGTTTGACATACTCGTGTTACAGCTGTAACGCGTGTTGGCCCCATTTTAAATCACTACAAAGAGTAAAGAAGTAGAAGCTGAGAAGATCTAGCGTGCATGTTTAACTATGGGATCTTTAAATGGAGGTGGCTGCAGGGTGGAAAAGGTAAGATTTGTTGTCTTGCAGCTACAAGGGTGCAGGTTTGAATCCCGGTTACAGCCTTTCCGCATATAGTTAGCGCGTTCCTCCCATGTGTGAGTGGGTTTCCTCTCACTGACCAAAAACATGCAAGGCAGGTCGAATGGAGACTTAAATAGTCCCTAGGAGTGAACGGGTGTCGTCTCTGTGTACAGGAGACTTTTCCAAGGTGACCCCCGCCTCTCGCCCAATGACCACTGGAGACAGACACCAGCTCCCCGTAACAATCTGAAAAATCAAGCACTTCAGATAATGAATGAATGGAGTTTGACTAAAGCTCTCACAGATTTTTTCTGCTGAGGTCTCCATTATAAATAAATGTCTTGTAACCCGTCCTTTGTTTCAGGTAGTAGAAGTTAGTTGGAGTGTGTGTGTGTGTGTGTGGGGGAGGGGGGGGGGTCACAGCAGGATCTGGTCTATTACACACATTAACATTCATGATATTCAAACATCTCACCTCTGATTGGCTAACTGCAACACGAATCTACCACTGTTTGCTTAGCAACGTTGAAGTTTTATATCCACAAATAACACAAACAAGACGCTCAACCAACCACAGCCTTCCCTGTTGCGAGCCAAGATGCCATTATTACCAATTCTCAGTGTGACATAGATCTGTGAGGATTTTCTAATCCAAGTGTTCCCCCATTTATTTTCTATAAGCGGCTTACGCAGGAAAATGGGGTAGAGGACCATTTTCATGTTCAGCCTGCATTTGAACCTCAAAGACTCATTATTTCAAAAATAAGTAAAAAAAAAAAAGGCAAACTTGTTCTTTACTCCTGCAGTAATCTTCAGACTAGTAGTTATCTCATCAAGCCACTCAGAACTAATCAGTTTCTCCAAACTCAGGCTGTTCAAAGAGCTATTTAAACCAGGTAAGATCACTTTTCCACCAAACCCACTTCTAAACATCTGAACTGCCAGTTTAAAGCCGTTCTTAAGTCTGTACGCAGACCAAATGCCACTCAGCTCCATGATAGTAGAGCATCCTGGCTGCTACATCACTTGAGGGACCGCTAGGTGATCTCTTACCGATTCTGCTCATTTTCCTACTGTGGGCACATGAAACAGCTCTGAGGATGGGCAAGTGGCACAGGAGTGGAGGAGCATCCCTTTTACATGAAGGGAAAAAACATTCACAAGCAGGAAGAGGAATCAGCAACGATGCATCAGCTCGACGGAGGTTTACCGTGTCACTGATGGGTGATGAGATAAATGCACTACAACATGCAACACCTTGTTGTTGCTTTGCATGACCCACCATCTGGTTTCATCCTCTTTTAAGCAACAGCTTTAATTATAGTTAAATCCTGCACAATGCATCTAAATAAAGCAACTAGGCATGTTAAGCATGGTACAAAAATAACAAGAACTCTCGCATTCTTCCCATTTTTGCCAGGGAACAATGTAGCTTTTCACAAAAGAACTGGCAGACTGTCAGCGACAGCCACTCGCAGGAGGGCCGTGCCCACACGTTACAGCAGAAACAACCCAACCACACGTCTAAGCAGAATAAAGCACAGCAGCAGCAAGGCAGCTCAACCAAAACTGGTTAAGACTGGGTCAAACAGAGACTACATACCTTATACGCAAAATACGTTTTGTCATTAATCCATTTATTTTTCAATTTTGTGCCCTAAAAGCAAAACAAACAATAAACTTCACTTGTGTGCAAAATCTCGAAAGATAGTGAAAGTAAAAGCTGGATTAATAACTTATCCTTCGTGTTTACCCTCCACACCTGCCTCAAAACGTCTGAAATTACTATGTGTGGCTGAATTCTCAAAGGAACACCCTTCAAATAAAAAGCAGCTGCAGTGAAGTTTGTGCCTCAGCACGATGGTGCGGGTTACTCGATGTGATGTGAGCTGAAGCTTAAGCCAACACCGCAAACCCAGTTCATGCAGGCAGGGCGTTCAAAGATGCTTTTGGCCTTTATTATTATTATTATTGGTGTTTATCATCATAAGCAGTGAGTTTTAGACATTTGTGTTCCTCCCTGTTCTGGTGGTCAGATCTAACTTCCTGACGGGCAATAAAACATCTTTACTTCTCATGGTTTTCAGCTTCAGTTGTAGACGTGTGTCCACTTGTGACCTAGTGAGAATTCCCCTCAAATCCAACCCCTGGCTCATGAAATAAACACACACAGAAAGTTATTATCTGCTGCTTTTTTTTGTCTTTCTGCAGTAACCTCTCCAAACCCCAGAGTGCTACAGGATACACGTCTTTCATGTTGTCAATGTGCTTTGCCCTGATGATGTCGTTGATCCCGATGATGTTCTCATGGTTGAAGCGCAGCAGGATCTTAATTTCCCTCAGCGTGCGCTGGCAGTAGGTCTGGTGCTCAAACGGGCTGATCTTCTTGATGGCCACACGCGTGTTTCTTACGACATCCTGAGCAGAGCTGGATGCAAAGCAGAAGCAGAAGTGTCACATGGTAAATGGTAAATGGCCTGTATTTGATATGGCGCCTTCTAGAGTCCTGGAACCCCCCAAGGCGCTTTACAACACAATCAGTCATTCACCCATTCACACACACATTCACACACTGGTGGGGATGAGCTACAATGTAGCCACAGCTGCCCTGGGGCGCACTGACAGAGGCGAGGCTGCTCACCGGTCCCTCCGACCACCACCAGCCGGCAAGGTGATTTAAGTGTCTTGCCCAAGGACACAACGACAGCGACAGACTGAGCGGGACTCGAACCTGCAACCTTCCGATCACGGGGCGAGCACTTAACTCCTGTGCCACCGTCGCCCCTAACATAACAAACCGTCCTTAAACTGATGCATCAGAAACTGGAGCGCGGACAACCTCTGTAGCCAGGATCGTCTGACACGTAGGTTTGGAGAGATGAATAAGACCATCCACCCCTTCAACTTCTATCAGGGAATTTCTGCTTCTGAAAAGGCCTGGTAGTTAAAACTGGTCATGTTCACACAAGTTCTTAATGGTTGTGAGACTACTGAGTCATCTGCCTGCTTCTGCATCAACAGATGAAAGTGTTAGCTCATTCTTCTCCTAAAGGCTGACTGTGTTTACAAACACAAGCTGCAGTAAGGTGGCATCACAGGGCCAAAATACAGACAGCAGCACTTTCTTGTACACAAACAGGTGTTTCCTGATGGGATGGATACCACTCGTGTTGCTGTCTGACTATCTTCTGGTTACTTTAAGGCTGAACAACACGTCCACACATGCCTGTAGATCACATAGCGAGATAACAGAAGCAAAGGCCTCGCTACAAGTGACAAGTCCCATTTCCTACATCCACTGCAGCAGATTTAATGTTCTGTTATTATAAATCAATGTAGTGTGGGTGCGGTGGCAGATGACCATAGATGGGTCTAGCTCACATTTGGAGTAAGGCGCAGGCTCTGATCGGGTAGTAGACCGCGTCCTGCGCTACCTCTCAGAGCCTTGTTTCCTGTAGAGCTCCAAGCCACGCCTGTAGCAGCTTAGCTAACCTGCTCCACAAGCAGACTTTAGCTTCACAGCAGCTCACTGCTGGTCAAATGTTTTAATTACGTACACGAGCATTGCTAGCTAGCAGGGTAACGGCTAGGAGTACTCACACCACCATCCCGTACGCCCCCTCCCCGATGTAACACAGGTCCACATAGCGGGGGCCCACGTCAAAGATCTGGCCCTTCACAGTCTCCGTGCGGGCGGGCCTTGAGATTCTCGTCGGGGTTGTCGACGCTACATTCTGCGGAGCGGTGGCTTTGTCTTCAGCCGCTCCGGAGGCGGCAGCCTGGGAGCTGTTGGGGTCCGCAGCCTTGGCCGCCGCAGTGTTGCTTGAACTCTCCATTCTTCTCTCCGAACCGCTCCCGCGCTGTCAGTGCGTCGTTAACCGAAGGACCGCTGCCGCGCTCAGAACACCGGGTAACCCTCGGTCCGAAGATTAAACCGAGCGGATTGAGCGACTCTAGGAAAGAAGCGCAAAGCAACCCGCGGCCTCTTTGCTTTCAAATGGATTTAGTGCACGAGCTCGGATTTGGTCTCTGAGCCCAGCGTAAATGCGCGTGCCAAACTACGGTAATACAGGTGCGTTAGATATGTTTACAAGGATGACTTGTTTGGGCGGAGCCGTGTCGGTTAAGCAGAGCAAAACAAGCGCAATTTGACAGCCACCACTAGTGGGTGTGTCGGGATGTTTTCTTTATAAATATGCAATTCCTGTTTGTTTGTTCTATGCTTGTTTTTAATACGTAAAGGATTATCTTAACTTATTCACACCACACTTCTATCACTGTCATCAAATCTAAAATATTAACTCATGTCGTGCTCATTTCATTTAATCTTATCTGCAGTGTCTTTATACTCCTGAGCCCAGAATAAAGAATATGACATTCTTATTGGTCAAATTTGAAATGAAAGCTATTTAAAATAATGCTTTAAGTAAAAATACATCAGCAATCCACATATTTCAGATATAATCTTTTATATTTTACATATGTAATTTTATTCAGAATTGTTAGCCCCCTCTTATCCAAACTGAACACTTAAATAGAATTATTCCTGGTAGAAACTCACAATTATGTGATCATAATGTTATTTAGCACCTTTTATGCCTAATGAAGAACCGACGGGTCAAAAAATTGTTCAGTATTTTACAAAAAAGTGTATAGGTTTGTACTTATGTAATTAAGTACGGGAAGAGTATTAAGGCCATTGAAAAAAGAGGAAAGAAAAATTAAAAAATAGACAATTCTGATATTTTCCTCAGAATTCTGAATTTTCTTTCTCCTAATTCTGACTTTTGTTCTTAGAATTCTGACTTTAATCTCACAATTCTGACTTTTTTCGTAAAATTCTTGCATTAAAGTCAGAATTCTAAGATTAAAGCCATAATTCTCTTTCATTTCTTCTTTCTTTTCAGTTGCTCTAATCCTCTAATTTACCCCCCGCATAAATTCGTTTTAAAACGTTTGTCCAAATTTGACTCGAGAAACTGTTTCATCATGGGGACGAGTGCGCATGCCCCAGGACGCCCTCGAGTACGTCACCACGCAAGGCGTTGCACTTCCTGGTTACAGTGCGCTGAATGTTTTGGCAGATCAATACCAGGAAGAAATGCTTCCTTTAGCTTGGAGACGGTTCAGGCTAGACACAGTCCGGTTGACGTTTACTCTCTTCGGTTTCCCGCTTGCTATCTGCTCCTCAGGAATAATAAGGTATTTGTAGGAACACTGACTAAAGATTACAGTTATATTTTTACACTTGATGAATTGATTGTATTTTTGTACTTATGTAAATGTAATAATTCACCCCTTGAACTGATCAACATGAGATCTGTAGATTTGTATGTCCTGTGTCATTTCCTATTTTCCTTTCATCTTCAGGCCTGGGACCTATTGTTCATGTCCTTATCCTGCCAGATCTTGCAGAAACACCAATCCTTTCAGCAGCTGCTGCTGTAATCTCTACATGGCCAGTGTTGGGGCAATGTCTTCCTCAAAACTATTACATGTGAAGTCCAGATGCCCACTGTATCCAGGGTCAGACATCAAGCGCTTCCCAGTACCTGATGACAAGGTGGACTGGACTCGGGAGTGGCCCCAGTATGAACCAGTCTCCTACACGGCCCCTTCAGTGTTGAACCGTCCACAGTGGGCAGATCCAGATATTGGGTGAGCTTTAATAGTATTATATCTGAGAGGTTCTAATTTTATTAATATATTATGATTAAGAATATTTATTTCCCAACAATTAAAAATAATTAATCCTTTTTTGGCTTGTTTTCCAGCTCTTTCTCTCCTCATTTCAATGCTGTGGATGATACTGTGGACAGGAAAAGCTTTGAGGGAAACTACAGGGTGGAAAATGGAAAGCCTTTGTAAGTTAGTGTGTGCAAACAAAACTCTATAGTCTCCAGCAGTGTCCAGTTTAAATTAGTGATGCACCGATGTGAATGTTTTGGGCCGATACCGATATACTGACATTAATGCTTCTAAAATCAGCAGATTCATTATAGAATGAAAAGGATTAAAGCTGAATTTACGTTATTATGTACACACACCACACACATTTACACTTCTGAGATGATTACAATCACGGTCACATGACTAAACAAATACCCATCACCCCCTCACCCTCTGAAACAGGCGAACAAATGGGAGACAAGATAGGAAAAAATATCAGTTGTTAATATCAGCCTGGTTTTATTTATCGGACGGATACCGATATGTTAAAAAATGTTTAACATCGGCCGATATTGATGCCGATATATTGTCCATCCCTAGTTTAAATTGGTGTTATTGTTTTCTCTGTTGGTTGTTGCACTGTACAGCGTGTGTGTCTTTGTTACCATTTAATTATACTCCAAAATATTAGGACAACCAGGCAGAACAGGTTCTGCCTGGTTGAGTTTTCGTGTTTGCCTCAGACTGCTTGGATTCTGGAGAGCCAAAGTTACAAAAAAAAAAAAATACATAAAGTGGTCAGTACTTTTAGCAATTAGATAAATGATTTGGATTTTTGTAAAAAATCTTTCAGGGAACATGAAGCTTGTGTCAGTGAGCTGTAAGGGCGATATTTACTTTCTGCTCTTTAGAAATCCCTTTGGGCGCACTGGTTTGACTGGAAGAGGTTTGCTGGGGCGCTGGGGGCCCAATCATGCTGCTGATCCTATTGTCACAAGGTGACTTTTCTCACTTAATTTTAAAAATAGTTTTGATCACTTTATTGCTGTATTTGTTTTCTTCTTTGTGGTTTCTGAAACAATCTAAAATAATTAGCTAAATTGTTTTGAGTGATTAGGTAATAGATTTGTGTGTTTATCACCACATCTGATTTGATGTTTGAAATGTTTCTCTCTGTCAGGTGGAAGGTAAACAAAAGTGGGGCAAAAACGCATCACCCAGTCTCCAAACTGCCTGTTTTACAATTTGTGTCCATCAAGAGGAACGACTGTGGAGAATGGGCCATTCCTGGTGTAAGCTGTAATTTATTCTTATTATTGGTGCAATATGGAGGACAAAAACTGCCAAATTTGCAAAGTTAAAGTCCCATAGTTGTCACAAACACACTAGTGTGTGGTGACAATTGTCCTCTTTTGACCCATCCCCTAGGGGAGCAGTGAGATGCAGACACGGTTGTGCTCAGGGAACTATTTATTTGCAATTATATGCAAATAACTATATTAAATCAGCAATCTGGAGTTTTCACCCTTTCAGGAATTATTTATACCAGCGGTTCCCAAGCTTATTTAGCCGTGCATATATAAATATATATATATATATATATATACTCAACCGGAACCCTTTCCGGTTCCGGTTGAGTGAACGCTGGCGCGTCTCGCTGCCGCTGCTCGCTGGCAAACAAACTTTTTGTATTTTTTTTTTCTTCTTTTTCACCCTGGTCACATCCCTGTGTCGGTGAAAACTCATTTTCACCTACCTGCTCAGCTTGCGTTCTGGTTGCACATCACCACCTCCCTGCTCCACTCCATAATGTGGTCCAGCAGGATTTCTGTGTGCCTCGCACTGGCCTGGATCATCCTGTCGCTCATTCTTCTGTCCGTGGATGGCCTTCTCCAGTACTCGGCGGCGGAGCTCTTCAACCTCCGCTTTCGCTACTCCGGATCTCCACCACCAGCTCTGTGCCTCTTCCCCGACATCACCTTCCAGCCTCGCCGTCGGTATATCCATCGGGGGTCCCGGCGGAACCTCCATCTCGACGGCTCCAAAGGAATACCCTCCTTCTGGTCCACGACTAGCCGGCGGCTACCCAGGAATACCTGCCGAGCTGCCGACTCCAGCGTGTTAGCCCGGCTGGCTAGTCGGACTAATGCTCCTGTCGCCAGGGACTTCCGCACTGCTAATTTTGGTCTTCTCAACATTCGCTCCCTCTCTGGTAAAGGACATCTCCTCCAAGATACCATCAGTGACCATAAGCTAGACTTTCTTTGTCTGAACGAAACATGGCAACAACCCAGCGATTTCTCACAACTCAATGACTGTACTCCTCCCGGATTTGTTTACCTCTCCAAACCCCGTGGGTCGGGCCGCGGCGGTGGTCTCGCGATACTGTATCGCGAGACTTGGAAGGTCCTTCCCGTAAACCTTCCTCCTCTCACCACTCTGGAATGCCTCGCCTGTCAACTCTCCGGCCCGACCCCCACAATAATTGTCACTGTTTATCGTCCCCCCAAGTTCAGCCCTGAGTTTTTAAATGAACTCTCTGCTCTTTTATCCCATCTGTCCGCCCTTTCCCCAAATGTAATTTTACTTGGTGATTTTAATATTCATATGGACAATATGGCCCTCCCCCTCAGCAAAGACTTCTCCTCATCTTTGGACAGCCTCAGTTTTCATCAATATGCCAATTTTCCCACTCACATTAAAGGTCACACCCTGGATTTAATCTGCTGCTCCGGCCTGACCCCCTCCAACTGTACAGCTGACCCGCTCCCTTTCACGGACCACTTCCTCATCTCCTTTTCTGTTCCCCTCCGTCTCTCCATCATCAAGTCACCACGTATCATTTCTTTTCGTAATATTAAGGACATTGATCTAGCCTCCCTGTCCTCCAGTTTTGCCACCTTGACCCCTAATTTGTCCTCTACTCCCGATGATCTTGTCATTCAGTACAATAACGGTCTGGTTTCTATCCTTAATTCATTTGCTCCCATCAAATCCCGCTCTGTATATTTTACTCGGTCTGCTCCATGGTTCACCCCTGCCCTTCGCTCCTTGAAAGCTACCAACCGGAGGCTTGAAAGACTCTACAAGAAAACCGGTCTCACCATCCATAAAGACTTATATTCTGCTCAGATTTCTCTCTACAAGGACTCCATCTCCCATGCCGAATCTCAGTATTACTCCGGTCTCATCTCGTCCAACTCCAGCAACACTAAAACATTATTTTCCATCATGAACAGCATTTTTCAGCCTCCCGACTCCTTACCCATCCATCTTTACTCTTCAGAAACCTGTAACTCTCTCCTTCAGTTTTTTAATGAGAAGGTCAATAGAATCCATCTCTCTTTACCTCATTCCTCCCCTCCCTCTCCTGATTTATTTGAACCCACCATTCCGTTCTCCTCCTTTGAACTTCCCCATCCCTCAGAAATATTAGATTACATCACCAAATCCAAACCTTCCACCTGTCAACTGGACCCTATTCCAACTGTTTTAGTTAAATCCTGCCTTTCTTCTCTGCTCCCTTTTATAACAGCCATTATTCATTCCTCACTATCCTCTGGTACGGTCCCATCCCTATTCAAATCCGCTTCAGTCAGCCCTATTCTAAAAAAACCTGGTTTGGATCCCAATGATTTCAATAACCTCCGTCCCATTTCCCATCTTCCCTTCATTTCCAAAGTCCTTGAGAAAACTGTTGCATCTCAGCTCCATTCACATCTCACCCGCAATAACCTTTATGAACAGTTTCAGTCTGGCTTCCGTCCCCACCACAGCACAGAAACAGCTCTCATCAAGATCACTAACGACCTACTCATTGCTGCTGATTCTGGTTTAATCTCTATTCTTATTCTCCTCGATCTGAGTGCGGCCTTTGACACCATTTCTCATCCCATCCTCCTTAATAGACTCTATTCCTTAGGCATCACTCACACCCCCCTCCGCTGGTTTCAATCTTACCTTACTGGCCGCACTCAGTTCATCCAGTTAAAATCCTTTACCTCAGAACCCTCCCCAGTCAAGTCAGGTGTGCCCCAGGGCTCTGTCCTGGGGCCCCTCCTCTTCATAGTATATCTCCTCCCTATCGGCAAAATCTTCCGCAAATTCAATATCCAGTTTCACTGCTTTGCAGATGACACCCAGCTCTACATTTCCAGTAAGCCCAACTCAACTCTCCCACCATCCTCCCTTACACTCTGCCTCTCTGAAATCAAATCATGGTTCACCTCTAATTTCCTCAAACTCAACGGCAATAAAACTGAACTTCTTCTAGTTGGCACTAACTCCACCCTCTCAACATCTGACAGCTTTTCTTTAACTATTGACAGCGCCACAGTCTCCCCCTCACCTTATGTCAAGAGTCTGGGTGTCATTCTCGACAGCTCCCTTTCTTTTCAGGCTCACATTAATAACTTAATTCGGTCAGCATACTTCCATCTACGTTCCATAAACCGTCTTCGTCCCTCACTGACCCCTCACACTGCCGCCATTCTCGTCCACAGCCTCGTCACCTCCCGTCTCGACTATTGCAATTCACTTCTTTATGGTCTCCCCAACAAACTCCTTCATAAACTGCAACTGGTCCAGAATTCAGCAGCCCGTATTATCACCAGAACCCCTTCCTTTCACCACATCACGCCGGTTCTCCAGCAGCTCCACTGGCTCCCAGTTAAATTCAGGCCCATCTTCAAAATTCTCCTCCATACCTTCAAAGCAATCCACAACCTCTCTCCTCCATATATCTCAGACCTTATAAGTATTCACACCCCGTCCCGTTCTCTCAGATCTTCTTCTTCCATCCATCTTGCGGTTCCTTCTGCCCGTCTCGCTACCATGGGGAGCAGAGCTTTCAGCCGCTCTGCTCCTCGACTCTGGAACTCACTTCCCCCAGACATCAGGAACATCGACAGTTTTACCCTTTTCCAATCAAAACTCAAAACACATATGTTTAAATCTGCCTACAACCTCTGATTTTATTGAAATGTTTCTCTCTGTTTTTTCTTCTTTGGGTTTTATTATTGTTTAATTGAATTTTATTACGTGTTTTGTGTAAAGTGACCTTGGGTGTCCTGAAAGGCGCTTTGAAATAAAATGTATTATTATTATTATTATTATTATATATATATATATATATATGTATCAGACGTCAAGCTAAACAGACAGGGTTAAAAAAATATGATCGACCTTTTTCCCCATCACTTTCATTTTTTAAATAGTAATTAATAAGCATTTGATACCATTACAATTTTCTTTGATTTAATTTTAAATAAATATTTAGGGTGCCCAGGTAGCACATCAACAATGCAATTTAACGGTTTTCTTAAAGCAGGAATGTTTAACCTGTGCGGCCAGAGCTCTCTCCTTCCTTCTGCTCTGCGTAAACCTGAACTGATCACCTACTTGTGCGTAATCAAATGTCTACAGGGGAAAAGATGGAAAAGCCATGAGGTTCACTTTTGCCTCAGACCGACATATTGCTGTTTTATGGTGTGGCTGAATCTGCGATCCGCTGCCACACGGACTGGAATAACAAATGCTGCAGTAGCATGAGTTGTGGTCAGGTTCATGAGGAGTCACTGGCTGGAGCGGACCCGACTTTAATACGTCATCCCAAAATTGAAGCTAATATCTTAATTTGACCTTGAATGAAAAACGTTGTTATAAAACCTCTTAAAAGTTTTTATCACGGAGGAGGCAGTGCTCTTTTCTGCCTTCAGTCTGACGGCGCGTGTGCTTATTGAATCTGTGTGTGTGTGTGTGTGTGTGTGTGTGTGCGCGCGGCACAGCTCCATGAGCCACTCCAGTCACCGCGTCTCGTTATCGGCGCTATTTAAACCAATGTTGTAAAATTACTTCTGCCCAGCCCAGATGTGCTCACATGTGCACCCGTGAGCCGTGGTTCCGCTGGAACGCGTCTGACCTCTGACAGACGCACTCTGAACTTCAGATCTTCAGCGCGCTGTTAATAGCCTGACACGTTTAGAATGTGTGCTAATATAATAATATAATAATGCTAAAATGCTCAGATGGGAATCATTTCATGATTTATTTTGTTACATCCACAATGTTCTGTGTGTGAGGTTTACAACATCAGAACACCTGCATGAGACAGGTGTTAATTACAATCTGCCAGAATGACTCACCACCTTCAGATTTCTCCAACACCGTTAAAAATGATCAAATACGGAACACATCTATCTATCTATCTTTCTATCTATCTATCTATCTATCTATCTATCTATCTATCTATCTATCTATCTATCTATCTATCTATCTATCTATCTGTCTATCTGTCTGTCTGTCTGTCTGTCTGTCTGTCTGTCTGTCTGTCTGTCTGTCTGTCTGTCTGTCTGTCTGTCTGTCTGTCTGTCTGTCTGTCTGTCTGTCTGTCTGTCTGTCTGTCTGTCTGTCTGTCTGTCTGTCTGTCCGTCCGTCCGTCCGTCCGTCCGTCCGTCCATCTATCAACAGCATAGTGAGAATAATAATTGTATAAAGCTAGAGGCATATGAGAGGCTTTGCTTCCAGCCGTAATCACGGAAGTAGGGAGAGAGGCTTAAGGTGCAATACCCTTTTCTGCCTGTAGATGGTGTCCTCTCAGGAAAAAAAACATCATATTCCTCTTTTAAAGGATAGAATTTCATTAAATTCCAGAGATGTCTATGTTATTAGTAAACAGTAAATTAATGCGTTTATTTATATATTTCAAATCACTAAAAAGTGAGAACAATACTTAAGAGAAATTGTTTATTACTTCTGTGAACCCTTTCTCTAAGGTCCGTTTATTTATTATTATTAAAACCAATGAAAAATGGAACAAATCAGACACATTGAGATAACAACATGACCAGTTTTTAGGCGTATGTCCGTGTTCAAGTTTTATTAGGTGCTGTTCTAACTTGGCTGTTTGGACATGCTGGGGGTTTCAGGGCATGGTGGATCCAGGGGAGCAGGTTTCTGTCACGCTGCAGCGGGAGTTCTCAGAGGAAGCACTGAACTCACTTTCATTGCCGCCTGCAAAGAAAGAAGAAACATTCAAGCGCATCACAGAATTCTTTAAATCGGCAGGAGTTCAGGTCAGTTGCTGACAGCCTGCAGGTTTCACAGGTGATAATTTGGACTGCATGAAAATGTGGATTTGTTGTTTTTGGTCATCTTCTCATCACTGTTATTTAAAAGTGACCAAATCCCGAGTGTTTGCTTCCATTAATCACCACCAGTAAGGAAAACAGGATTATAGCTAATTTTTTAGCTCTTTCTTCAGCTGCGCTTTTTCTAAAGGGAAAAAGCCAGAACCTGATCAGGAAGAGCAGCTGGGAGATAAATAGTGACATTTCTCTTACTTTCAGGTCTATAAAGGCTATGTCGACGATCCCAGAAACACCGACAATGCTTGGATGGAGACGGTCGCTGTCAATTTTCATGATGAATCAGGTATTTCCTCCATTTCTCTTTTTAATCGTCTCCTCTTTGTAAAGCTTACTAAACATGGAACCAGGAAACGTTTTCAAAGCACTGAGGTTTTCTGTGTTGTTCTCAAAAGGCAGCAGCGTGAGCGAGCTGCCGCTACAAGCAGGTGATGATGCGGGACAGGTCCAGTGGGTTGACATGGACTCGTCTCTCGCCCTCTACGCGAGTCACTCCCATTTCCTGGAGCGGGTCGCCAAAGAGAGGAAAGCTCACTGGTAACCGACCCAACAGACTGGTCTGATGGAACAGAGGAAAGATGACCTGCATGAGTACACGCATGTAAACCTCGCCTCACTAATTTATTTAATATAATCAGATATGATCGTTAGATCCTGTATTTAATATCTCAGCATGATATGATGGTGAAGGTTCTCAGTCATTCAGGTCAAGGTAACCCAAATGGGTTCAAATGAAGGCAACTGGACTTCTTTGGTTTCTTGAAGACTAGGGCTGCACAATATATGGTAAATTTATCGTTATCGCGATATCAGCATGCGCAGTATGCATATCGCAAAGAACAAATAAATATTGCTATGTTTGCTACACATAATGCATTCTGTCAATCAAACAGACGCATGATTTTTTTTAACAAATCAAATGGAGCTCTTCACCCATTAGGCCAACTGGGTGGATTCTCATAGGTCAGAGGCCCGCCCCCGAGGCGGACGGCACTTAATTCTGATGGTTAGCAAACACCTGAGTTAGCTTTGTTCTGCTTTTCCCGGGATCCACTGATTGCCTTTTCTTGTTCATTTTCTTTTTCCTCACATCTTTTGCTTTTCTCATTTTAATGATTCTTTTCTTTGTTTTTGATTATTTTTGTTTCTGAGTTAAGTTTTTATTTATCGCAAGTAATATCGTCATCGCACTATCAATCACTGTTATCGAATATCGCGGGGTTTCCTAAAATCGTGCAGCCCTATTGAAGACGCTTCGCTTCTCATCCGAGGAGCTTTGTCAATTCTGACAGGAATCTGGGAGAGTCCAGTTTATAAGCTGTAGATGTCTGTTGTTTAACGAGCAGAAACTACTCTGAATACCCCTCTTCCTTATATACGATCCCTATATATAAAGCCTATATATGATATATACAGCGTTACTCTGAGTATACATGAAGCTACAAGAATAAATCAGTCACTCTGCAGTTTTGTGGTGTTGAGATGGAGTAAAAATGGTGGACGAAGCTGTCAGGCTCATAGACATTAATATGTAGACGCCCCATTGGGTGCTGGAAAGCGTAGCGTCGCCTCCATTTTGGATGGGTCTCCTCACTCTCCAAAGTCAATGCAGAGTGGGCAACTATGCCCGTTTTTGTGCAGCTTACGGTTGCAGCAACCAGCGTGCTATTGAAAACAGATCATGTGGGATTTATTACAGCAGCTCAGTAGGTAGAGCGGGTTCTCCAGTAATCGGAAGGTTAAAGACACTTAACCCACCTTGCCTGCTGGTGGTGGTCGGAGGGACTGATGGCGCCTGTGCTCAGCAGCCTCGCCTCCATCAGTGCGCCCCAGGGCAGCTGTGGCTGCATTCTAGCTCATCACCATCAGTGTGTTTGTGAATGGATGAATGAATGATGCACTGTAGTGTAAAGCTCTTTGGAGTGCTCTGACCCTGAAAGGTGCTATACAAGTGCAGGTCATCATTTATCATTATTATTGACTTTTTTTAGCCGACCTGATGAGAATTTATATGAAATTTTTTAAAATTAGTTTGTTTAATTATGTTTATATTTTAATTATCATGCCATACCATGTGTTTGATTTTGTGAAAAAGCTTGATAAAATGTGTTTTTTAGTTGGGTAATTACCTTCCTCAGTAGAAAGGGGAGCGAATGGAGACCCATCTAAGATGGCCGCCAGTCACTACAGCAGCTCCAATCCACGGGGCGTCTACGTATAAATGTCTGTGGTTATTTATTATTTAAAATCTTTTGGGCGTTCATTCTGTGTTTCTTCTGATTGCATTAATTGGTTATTTTTTAAACACAGAAAAAGGTTGTTTTACCTTTTCTGCCGACAGTTTCGACCACTCCTGCAATCTTCTTCAGAGCTAGCCGCTGTTGGTGGCGTCACTTCCTTCTCTGTTTAATGTCACAAACACTGGATTCCAACAGCAAACATAACCTCAAGAATCTATGGAACCCCAAAAGTGCACAAACAGAACACCCCTCTTAGACCAATAATAGACACTGACAGCATCAGGTACACCAACATACAATATGGCAAAATAAATCATCAGCCCACCAATAGGTAACACAGATCAAGATTGCAAAAACAGCACAGAACTGGCAAAAGAACTAAAAACGATTACAATAGAAGATAACGACATACTCATCTCACACGACGTTGCATCGCCTTGATGGCCGCTCTTGTGGTCGATCTGCTTTGTTCTACATGTTTGTGTGTAACCTTGGACAGGCTGTACTGCGGAGACAAATTTCTATGCTTCAGGACGCGGGGGCATTGGCAACAAAGTTGATTCTGATTCTGATCCCTGTTCACAAAAACACCAACTCAAAAAAAACATCCACATAGTAGTTAACAGAGTCAGACAGGACAAAACTTTACACTAAAGAACAAAACTCACAGCAGACGACATAGCACGACTGGTAGCAAACTCCACTTACTTCACATATGACGGAACAATATACAAACAACTGGAAGGCTTTGCCATGGATAACCTGTTATCAGCCACCCTTGTGAGTTTTTCATTCAATTCAAATTCAAAAATACTTTATTAATCCCAGAGGGAAACTGATTGGAAGATCTACGTGAAACAAAAAGCCACTGCCCCCAAACTGCAAAATAAAATTATGGAAATGCTACGTGGACGACATACTAATCCTACTAAAAGGACAAACGGAGACACTATAGAACACCTGAACAACCTCGACAACTCAAAAGCATAAAATATACATATGAGGAAAAAATTGAAGGCAGCATAGCCTTCATGGACATGAAAATAAGCAGACAAAAAGACAGGACCCTGAATATAAACACATACAGAAAACACACACATACCAATATTTATTATAGAGATCTGAACACCCTAAAATGTCAGTATTCAGAACGTTATACCAATGGAAAATATAAAATCAAAAGTACGAGGCCGTAAACAAGAGGAACAACATATACAAAAAGCTTTAAAGACCTGCGGATAACCGACATGGGCAATAAACAAAGGAAAACAACAACAGAAAGAAAAGAATAACCAAAACAAAGAACCAGAAAAACAAGAACCAGAACCAGTGATAACCCTTCCATACATCAAAGGCATTACAGAAAAAGTAAGAGCAACAATGAAAAAAAAAAAACACATAACATAAACACACCAACAAAACCGCACACAACAGTTAAAAAAGAGTAGAACATCCAAGGGACAATATATCAGCAGGACATAAATATGGAGACATTTATGAAATCCCATGCAAACGCTGCAGTAAACCCGAACGACAACTCAACACGAACAATAGAACATAGAAAACAATAAGAAAGAAACAAGTGGAAGACACACCAGAGCAGCGAAGCAAGAAGCAAAAAGTATAATAAAGAAATGAGCCATAACAGACCCCTGCACAAGGGGAAACCATATCATGGACTGGTAATAACAAAATTACAAAAGCTGGATTAAGGATGCTATAGAAATAAGTAGACGTGGACACACAACCATGAACGAAGACGAGGGGGTCTACACATTGGATCACGCACGGGACTGTGTCATTGTTGAGGAGAGAGCAGGCAGCAGAGGGTGACACTGTCCTCTGCTGCCCGCGGGTAAATGGAGAAGGAAGTAACGCCGCCAACAGCGGCTAGCTCTGAAGAAGCCCGCAGGAGAAGTCAAAACGTCCGTGGTTAGTACTAACAGGCTGTTTTCCCGCTCCTCTGCTCACATTGATGCATGCCATTCAGCTGCATATATTCTTCATAATTACTGCCACAAACACTGAACAATTCAATTTTTTTCCTTTACATGTTTTTCTTTAGGCCAGTTTACTCATTTGATTGGTAAAGCTGCTCCTACGAGAAGAAGGGAGGAATATCTGTAATTGGGTTCATGAAGTTTGAACCTCTTACTAGAAAGCCCTAATTAAATTAGTGCCAGTTCTTAGAAGGCACCGCAAATCAATCCTGCCTTCTGTTTTTGCTCTCATCACATCTCAGGTCACATCTTTTACAAAACTCAAGCGCTGACCACGGCACCGATGATTGAGCAAGTCCTTTTTTCTGATGCTCTTTAAGTTTTTGCATGAAAGCTTCTCTTCACCCCCACTGGAGCATTTTCTGCACAAGCACTAATAGCATTTGTTGTTGTGGGAACAGAGGGTGTTCCCTGTGCAGATGGTGGTGTGTGAGCGGCTATTATCTCAGTCAGAATCCTTTATCTTCTCGACTTTAAGGGATTTTATTTCAAACGAAATAAAATAAAAATAGAACAGCTTTATAATTCTATACTGAATTGTGTTGATGGTTTACCTTCTCTTTATTTGATAAGTGATGTTTACTAGTCTTGCACCGAAATAGCTGACACCAAAATGCTTCATAACCTGCTTTCTTTGAGATTATGTGAAGTTATAGATAATTTTAATGCCTGAGTTTGTTGAACAATGATTTAAACATTTTCTCTGTGGAAAGTAACCGACTCATTAAATGTCTCACTTGGTCACAAGCTACATTAATGTCTGATGTACAAATTTTGTGTCATGTCAATAAAAAATATATAAATAAACATATCCTATTGAATTTATCCATATGCTGTTTTGTTTCTTAAGACCCCATTTTTATTTGACAAGATGAAACGTTTTATGTTTATTTGTTTTGCAGATGCTTTTATTCAGAGTGATTTACAATTCAAACCTGACATGCAGATTTTTGGTCTGTGGGCTGTGGGAGGAAACCGGAGAACCGAGAAAACTCATGCATGTGCGTGGGAAACATACTAACTCCATGCAGAAAGGTTGCAGCTGGAATTCAAACAAATGTTTTACTAAGTATTTTCTTTTAGACAATCCCGAGTTCACTATTTGTCAATTACATTTAATTCAGGGACCCAGAATCACGGTTTTGCATTATTCAAACAAAATACTACATTACCCAGAAGCCCGTGGAACTAAAACGTCATAGCTGGCGACGTGGCTCAAATACGTCTCACCGCCGAGCTAGCACCGGGGTTATTCAAACGGACTAACCAGTTGCTTCTGGACCTCAAACGGCTCTACTACATTTTATTTCTAAATTCTTTGACCACACCGCTGGGTCACCATGTCGGGGAAAGTGAAGAACCGCAATGCTGCTAACGTTGACTCCATAGCTGGCGGTGTCTCTTGTGACGAGCGCATTTTGCGGGACATTCACCAGATATACACGGACTCTGACAGCGGTGAGCCTAATTACTGAAACCATTCCATCCAACCCTTCTTTAAAACACATTTGAGGGTTTTGTCTACCTGAAGTTATGCCAGCTAACTAACCAGGACGGGGTTCGTGCGGCTAAGCGTTAGCTAAGTTTGCTAACACAGATTTTGAGTTTTGGCTGACGTTGCATTAGATCAAATTTAATCCCGGTGTTACTGCAAAATCTGTGATTTAGCGTAATCTGCGACTGCGGGGGGCGCGAATGACTATTTCTCATTTTCTGGGTAACAGTGAGGGTGACAGTGGCTGTGTTCGAGATGAGCCAGTTCTGCGCAGATTAGATCACCGGGTGCGCAGTGCTTGCCGGTGATTTGTGTCCGTCTTGACGCCGACTTGCTCTGACGTCATGCATACGTAAGCAACGATAAACTCCTGAGATCAAGGCGGCCGCAGATCAATTACAGTATTCCCAAAATACCACTAAAACTTTCTCACTTCCATCAACAAATTCTTTTGGCATGGGCACTGATTTACAAACACAACTTCTCCCCGCAAAACTGTTTTATTTGGAATAACTGCAATATTATTTATAAAAATAAAACTATTTTTTTTTAAATAACTGGTTTAAAAATTGAATCATCTTGGTTGGCCAGTTATTTGATGAAAAAGGGCTTTTATACAATGACTCTGAATTCCTTAGGAAATACAATATACCAATAACGCCTAGAGAATTCTCAATAGTGTTTGATGCCATCCCATCCGGTCTGTCCATGTTGTTCAGATGCTCACACAGCGCTCCACTATCAGTCAGTCGCCCGGATGTGTTACATTCTTCTCTTGGCAACGTTTGTTTTTCCTCGCATAAGTCGGTGAATAACAAAATAAGAACTCTCTTTCAGGATACAGTGATTTCTGTTCCATCAACCATATCTTATTGGGCTAATTTTGTAACAGATATTGAATGGAAAAAGTTTGGACCTTACCACAAAAATTTCTTTTAACGAACAAAGTTAAAGAGATAACATTTAAATTGATTCACAAGTTTTACCCTACCAAACAATATTTGTCAAAATTTATAGCTGATATAAATGTAAATTGTACCTTTTGTCAAGAGCAACCTGAAACAGCTTCTCACTTGTTCTGGTCATGTAAATTTGCAAGTAAATTCTGGAAGGACTTCCACAAGTTTATTAATGACTCTGTTCTCCCTAACTTTCAACTATACTACAAAGATGTTATTTTTGGTCTTCATAATTTTAAAAACAAGGACAATGATGCTTTCTTCTTCATAAATATGTTTTTATTTTTGGCTAAATTTCACATACACAAAAGCAAAGTCCTTGGCAGAAAACCTGAACTTCTTGTATTAAAAATGGAACTTGAACAATTTATAAGGACGATCTCCTCATCAAAAAACACCAAGGCTCTTAAGTCTGTTAACATTTGTAACCATCTGAAACTGTTCGATTGGCTTGACCTCTTCCAAACCTTTCTTTTTTTTATTTTTATTTTTTTCTCCATGTCTCCATCATTTCTGTCGTTCTTCGTTGTAATACCACAATGGTATACTTTGTGTTCCATGTCTTACAATTGTATGTTCAAAATGTGCTAAATAAAGCTATATTGAAAAAAAAAGGCGGCCGCAGATTTTGGAGCAAGGCGCTGCAGTTGCTCTCCACTGGCTGCAAAACCCAGGGGATGACGGGAAACGCCTGGCTCTCACCTGATCTAAGATCTGATTGGTTCACATTTTGATCCAGACATCCGGTGGTAGAATGAGAAACGTTAGTTGGTCACATGCATTCTAAAAAACATGTAACGTTGATGATGACAACTATATAGGCCATGAAGAGAAATGTGATTTGTGTTATTTTGTCACGTTTCCTATGAGCACACTAAACCTACAGCTGATAACCTTTACTTATTATTACAGTCATGTCTTCAATATATGATATCCACAAGCATGTGAGGATGTGTTTCAGTTGCTAACAGGCACCAGAATTAAAATAAAACATTAAACAAGTATGAACGCTAATGCGATATCTTCATCCATCATCACCTGCGATCTACATGTAGGGAAATCTGTCCGTGTGCTCTCGTCTGTTTTCCAGGCAAGGCGCTGCTGTAAGGACGCAAGAGAAAAAAAACCAAAAAAACGTTTTGAAAGTTCAACAACACACGTGATCCGTTAGAAAGTTCAGCATATATTTTTTTATTCAACATAAATTACATTTTCTGTCACTGCGACGTTAATCAAACGCTAGAAGAAAAAATCTCCGCTGGAACAATTGTTACGCAGTTTACGTAAGCGCTCTTCTTCTTCTGTCGTTGTAAGTCATTAGCGCCCCCCACAGTCACAGATTACGCCAGGTCACAGATTTTGCTATAACACCGGTAAATTATCTGCTTTATTATAATTTATTATGACTCAGCAGGAGTTGGGCATAGTAATGTGGCTTTTAACGTACCGAGTTTTAACCCAAAGCCTCACCAGATCTGTAATTCATTCATTTTTCAGCTTAATTTATCAAACTAGTATTGAATTAAGGCTGAGTATTCTGATTTCTTCTCTTTCCTGCCCCCAGGGTTGATTATAGTAGCAGAATCAGTAGGTGTGAAGCTGCTACCACCCAGGAAAAAGATCACAGTGATGCTGATGGGCAACCACTCTGCTGGAAAAAGTTCCTTCATAAACTGGTAATCTGCTGCATGGATAAAGGCTCGCTGTCCCCCTAAACCAGTGATCCCCAACTCCCTTCCCCGAAAGCTGGTATCCATCATGTTTTAGTTGTTTCCCTAATCGATACACTGATTCATATGTTCAGCAGCTCATCAAGCTTTGCAGAAGGTTGTTAATCACCTGTTGGTTAAAGCCAGGTGTGATGAAGCAGGGGAAACGGTAAAACACGCTGGCCCTCTGGGAAAGAAGTTGAGGGTCACTGTGCTAAGCTTTTGGTCGTGTCCGTGGTTCTGGTAAACGGAATTCCCCAAACGTTCGTTTAGTTTATTTATGATTTATTTGTTGTTTTAATTAATTAAGTTTTTGTGATTATCTTGGTCAGGTATGTGGAGGAACACATCCAGCGCACTGGGGTGGCCATCGAGACGCAGGGCTTCAGCTTCATCACGAGTGGCCGTAAAAGAGAATCTCTCACGGTGAGCGCTGTGGCCCGATACCTTTGTCAAATAGAAATATTACCGGTCCTAAAGTGAACACGAAAAGTCTGAATATGATGCATCTTTTTGTCACCCAACAGTGGTTATTTTATGTCCAAAATTGTATATTTCCTTCACAAATCATGTAAACATTGAGGCTTTTTGACTCGATTTCATTGTTTGTGGTTCTGGACATCTGTTTTAATCAAGATCTGACAAATGTTTCTTTTTTTAGGGGAATGCAACACTTCATCTGTATCCACATTTCAAGCCACTGCAGGAATTTAAAGGTGAGAACAGCCTGGAATTTCCTGTTTGCGGATTTGCAGTTTCACCTTTACAAAAAGAAATGTAATGTCTACTCTTAACCTCGAGAAGTCTCAATTATCCTAAACTTGATCAAATTTGTTCTTTTCCTAATTATGGGAACTTGTGGAACTCTGAGGATAAAACGATTATTTGACTTAGCACCAGACTATTTCCTGCTTGATTGTCCGATGTTTAACTTTTGGTATGAATCCGTTTTAGTTTAATGTCCTTTCCTGTTTTATTTTTTGTTTCCTTCTCTGATCCTTTCTAAATAAATGTCTAGGTGTTACAGAGTATCTGAGCACAGAGATCTGCACATCTCGGCAGAAACGTTTCAGCTTGGTGACATTTGTCGATTCTCCGGGTTTGGTGGACGGCGACATGAAATATCCGTTTGATGTGGACGAGGTCATCCTGTGGCTGGGTGAGTTGCTTTTCTTTCCTTTTACCTGTTCTAATGTTGACATTACAATGAACTTTTGAGTTTTATCTAATAAACTTTTCAAAGTTTAACTAATAAAACACACGTGTGTTTTTATACACCTGGATGCAAGCAGAGTTTTGCCTTTGAAAGACGAGCTTCACTTCAGCTGAAACTTACTTTCGGTTTCTGCTTTTTAACAAGGAACTATTACAAATGTTTATCAGTTTAACGTTATTGGTGTTCACTTTCAGGGGATCTCTGTGACCTTATCCTGGTCTTCTTTGACCCCATGGGTCAAGCTTTGTGCAAGCGCACCCTGAACATCGTTGAAAGCCTGAATGAAAAACACAGTGATCGGCTGCGGTTTTTTCTGAGCAAAGCTGACGAAGCCGGCGGAGAGTCGGACAGACAGGTAAACTGAAATGTGACGTTAGGGTAATAGTTGTGTATTTTGATGCTTTTCTGCTCATAACAGAATAAGAAATGTCTAATAAGAGAAAACACGGCTCATTTCTGTTTATGCGTTTCAGAGGGTGATGATGCAGATTGTGCAGGAGCTCTGCAAGCGACCAGGACTCAACAAGTGTGGCTTTGACATGCCCACTATCTACATCCCCAATCCAAACAAGGTGGGAGTTCATCTCTTGTGTGTCAGACATCCAGATGGTTTAATTTCCCTGACTGATTAAAAAAAAAATTTTTTTTAATGTGTTCCTGTGTTCAGCCCAGCCGCTGTGTGAACCAGATCGAGGAAGTTTGTCGTACCATCGAGAAAACCATCAACCAGACGGTCCAGAATACACTCAACTCTCTGGAGAGGGACTGTGAGCTCATCAGTGAGGCCATCACAGATAAGCTCAGCACAGATAGGTGAAACAAGCTTATCATAATTCATATCCTAGTCAGAACTCAGATAAATATCCATCGTTTCTAATGAAACAGTTTCTAAGGGAGAAGTGATGCCGGCAGAGAGTAACTTTGACCTTGTGATCACACAGACAGACCACTTTTGATAACCGACGTGCACGCTGTAAGAGCTGCTTCCTGACTCTGCTGGGTTTCAGCGTCCCACTGGCCCTGTTGGCCCTGCTGGTTCTGGGCTCCATGTCCCAGGAGCTTCTGGAGATGGCGTTGGGCCATCAGGGAACTGAGGCACTATCCCTCTACCTGGTGAGTGTCCAAGTGGGTGCATCCTCCATAGTCGTGTTGTTTAAAACCTAAATATAAATCATGCTCGCTTCTGTCATCATTCAGACTCCCATAGTGAGAATATTTGACACCTTGTCTGGGGAGCAGCAGCTTTATGGCTGTGGAGGTCTGGTCCTTCTGTCCTTCCTTCTGCTCGTCATCGCGCACTTCTCCTTCAGGTAGGACCGAATTTTCAGCACGTTATTTATTTTAGGTATTTATCGGCTTCCCTAGCTTAGCCCCTGTGCATCAAATGTTGCTTGTATTCACTCTTGTAACAAGTAGTGAAAATGCATCATCTGAGTTTGAGTTTATGTTAATGTGATGTGTTTGATGATTCAAATCAATGAACAACTAAATTATTATGGCTCAAATAAAATCTAATGTTCATTATGTAAATAAAATTATCTTAAATTTAACACTGGAGGCTTGAAGTCTGTCAACACTCAATGTTTTAGAAGACCTTCTGGTCTAGCCGACTTCAGGATGATGCCATATTAGTTTACTAAGTAGGGAATTTTACTCTATTAGGGTCTTCAGAGAAAAGCTTTTCACTCATTCTCTCGCATATAAAAAAATGTGCTTTACATATAAAAAAATGTGCTTTACAAGTTTACACCTCTTGATGTTTCCTGCTTCTCCCTTCTACTGGTTGAAAGCAGAATCACAGCTGTCTAACAACCCTGCAGCAGCCTGTAGCTAGCGCTAACAAGCTAAAGCTAACAGGAGCCACAAAGTAAAAAGATCCACATAGGTGGATAAAAGAATATTACTTACAAGTCCAGTAGCAACAAAGCCAGGTCATCATCAGTCTGTGATTACGTAGCCTCTTTTATCTTCCTCAAACGAGTGTAGGCTACGTTGTTGTTCACTCTGGTTTCAGCTGTTTGCTTCACCCAAAGACATTACTCTCTCTCCTTTACTTCCAGGCTCCACGACAATGCCAACAGGGTATCCGCGGGTCCTTAAAAAGTCTTAAATTTGCTTTTCCAAATTTAAGGCCTTGAAAATCCTTAAAAATGACAAATAATCCTTAAATCCAGTTTCCAAAGGTCTTAAATTACCAAAGACCCAATAAACAAGATTCTTTTATTTCTATAAAATTTTCGTGAATTTCTAGTTTGTGTTCAGCATTTTTTGTGTACGATATTGGCGTAAGCGGAACTGTACACGTTCAGTTGGTTGTGAAAGGGGGTTACTTTTAGATGAGCACATTAGCTGGTTAAGCTAGTGGGAGCTTGCGCCATGGGGAAGTGCAAGTTTAATGGTAACTGGATGGCTAATCCCACGTTTTCGACGTGGTTAGCACCGGTTCCAGGCAATAGCTGGAAATTATAGCTTAAATTTAATTTTAAAAATAGCTTAAATTTGGTCAAAGTGGTCTTAAAAAAGGTCTTAAAAAGTCTTAAATTTGGCTCCCTTAAACCTGCAGATACCCTGGCCGAAAAAAGCAAAATTTCTTCTTGTGCTTTTTACAGATGGCCAGCAAACTGAAAAAGCTAACTGCTAGCCTTTACATTAGCTACTGTCACTGTGAACAGCTAACAGCTGTAAAGCAGGCATCCGTGCTACAAAACTGTAGTGGTTTTTGGTCAGCAGAGGGCTGTTGAATCTGAAGTTGGTAAAATTTACCTCAATAATCCCTCAAACCAGTTAGAAAATAAGTATTAAAAACTCATTAGTGTTGCTTTAAGAAAAAGTCATATGTGTTGTTTAAGTCCGTAAGAGAACATCCTGTTAGACCTTTTCTCTGTTAAGTTATCTAAAGCTACAGTCCATGTTCTGGTGGATATATCACCGTGTAAATAAAGTTAAATAAACAGATCCACATGACCAGTAAAAATGTTGGGGTAGATCTGGACTCTTGACATGGATGCTGCTCAAATTAAAAACCGTTTTAGAGAGCACCACTTGGTGACTGGCTGGTCAGCAGCAGAATCTTATGGCGCTTACACATTAGCGTTGGCACGGTCGGGATTTGGTCAGGCTGGATGGCGTGAGTTCGGTCTAGAACGGGCGTTGTAGTGTTCATGAATCCAAGGGACTTCTCAGGAATGCGGAAATCCCCGAGCCTGTGGGCGGTGCTTAATACCGCGGTCTCAGTTCGCGGTGTCCTCCATTATTATAAGGTAAACAAAGGCGGGCATGAACTGTGTTGCTTTTGGAGACTCGGAACCACATTATTTTATTAATTTGCTGTGTGTGTCCTCATAATCTTGTGACACATACACACACACTGATTTCTCCCCTGAGCAGCTGTCTGCTCGCCAGGGCAAGGGCTCCAGTGCGGAGAAAAGGCGCACACACACACACACACACACACAGAGCTATTCTCTTCTCCCATTCCCACACTGATCGGCAGCTCCGTGCTACAGACAGATGTTTACTCAACAGCATCCAGCATGAAAATGAATCGCGCATGCGGGAACCCCTCCCCCGCTGGCTCATCCTTCTCGCAGATCGGAGGCGGTAGGTGTGATTACAGCCGGCCAGTCGGTCCATAGTGTCGCCTCGGTCCCAGTCTGACTGCTGGGGAGAAGGTCTGAGAAAAAGAGTCGCCTCTACACCGAAAACGTAAATCTGACCTGTGTGTGAAACCAAATTCCAGTGCCGTTTGATACCTTTTTGGGGCCGTGCCGACTTGAATGTGCAAGCGCCATTAGTAAATAACTGGTTTGTTCCACTGACTGGCACAGGAGATCATCTCTGATTACTTTGATTCTTGGCAGGACTCATCCGACTCTTTCAGGCAAACAGAAAAGGCAACTCCAGGAAAAACTGGAGTATGTCCAGGATGTGATCAAGACCAAAAAGGTAGCGTATCTGAGTCTGAAGTGTTTCTGACACGAAATGAACACTTCTGGTTTTAATGGTTTCATTTGTTTCTGTAGAAAAAGCTCTATGAAGAATATTTACGGCAGAGTGTCAGTGATCAGGACATGGACTTGTAAAACAAAGCCCTTCCACTGTGACGTTGGGACCAGTTTGCCAAGGTTTCACACCAGATGCCAAGTTCCATGGACCAGCCAATGATTTGTTTATTTTTAGTATTTAGCACGTGACCCGCTGAGAAACCAACATGAAGAGCCTCTAGGTTCTTCAGAGTCAGTTTACCTCTAACGCCTGTTACAAACACTACCAGCAGATGAGCTGAGCTCCTTACTCATGAGTTCTGCTGAGCACTTCAGTGCTTGTATCCTGTGCCTCTGATCCACCATTTTTATACCACTTTACAATAATGAAAATGCATTTCCAGACTATTTCTACCAACAAATAGCACTGACATCATGACTCACTTTGTATGAACTAGTTTTTGAGAATATTTAACATATTTTCTTTTATTTTCAATTACTTGTCATGTGGTTACAGCTTTGTGATGATACAGGAAATGTCTGTGGTTTAGCCAGTCTGTAGGATCATTACGTTTGTGCACAAATTCTGTAGTTTTGATTGTTTATCAGCAATCAGGATTATTGTCTACATTGTGACAATTTTAAACTCCGCTGAATAAATACATTAAAGCTGCATAGAGGGTGTGGTTTTATTTTAAATTTGAATTTTTAAGATATAAAAAAATCAGTTCATAGATAAAATGGTGCCTATCTCCAGCTGTCAATGGGCAATCAGGCAGGGTACACCCTGGACAGAGAGCCAGTCCATCGCAGGGCATAATCCCATCATTTCCCCAAAAATAATTATGACACTTGCACTCCCCCCAAAATCCCACAACCCATTTCTTAAAGAACACATGCACACACACACATGAACACACACAAAACTTAAAAAAATAAAATATAAGTGAACACTAGGCTGAGTTCAGATGGGTAAGGTAACGAATGACACGCCATCAGATGAGCCATCTGCCTCGGTAGTAGTCAGTCGATGGCAGCAGCAAAGGCACCAGCCCAGGGATCCCAGGGAGGTAGAGCAAACCCCCCCCCCCCGCCTAAGCACTCCCCAAGGTGCGCCCAGGCCGCCACAGTCGACCACCACCCCGAGGCAGAGGGCTACACAGAGGAAAACACTGGCATGAACAAATAAGTAACATAAAAAATAATAAAAGCTATTATGGATAGTAAAATAACTAAAAAAAAGTGATTAAAAGATAGTAAAAAAAAAACTAAGACATAAATGTCTAATAAAACTAAAATATAAATCCATCCATCCATCCATTTTCATCCGCTTATCCGGAGTCGGGTCGCGGGGCAGTAGCCTAAGGCGAGAAGCCCAGACTTTCCTCTCCCCAGCCACTTGGGCCAGCTCCTCTGGGGGAACCCCAAGGCGTTCCCAGGCCAAGTGAGAGACATAGTCCCTCCACCGTGTCCTGGGTCTACCTTAAGGTCTCCTCCCGGTTGGACGTGCCCAGAAAACCTTACCAGGGAGGCGTCCAGGAGGCATCCTGACCAGATGCCCGAGCCACCTCAACTGGCTCCTCTCGATGTGGAGGAGCAGCGGGTCTGCTCAGAGCCCCTCCCAAATGACCAAGCTTCTCACCCTATCTTTAAGGGAGAGCCCAGCCACTCTTCGGAGAAAACTCATTTCGGCCGCTTGTATCCTCGATCTCGTTCTTTCGGTCACTACCCAAAGCTCATGACCATAGGTGAGGGTAGGAACGTAGATCGACCAGTAAATCGAGAGCTTCGCCTTCTGACTCAGCTCTCTCTTCACCACGACAGACCGGTACAACACCCGCATCACTGCAGATGCAGCACCAATCCGCCTATCGATCTTACGCTCCAGTTTTCCCTCACTCGTGAACAAGACCCCGAGATACTTAAACTCCTCCCCTTGGGGCAGGACCTCATCCCTGACCCAGAGAAGGCATTCTACCTTTTCCGAATCAAGACCATGGTCTCAGATTTAGAGGAGCTGATTCTCATCCCAGCTGCTTCATTTTCGACTGCGAACCGCTCCAGAGAAAGCTGAAGATCACGTTCTGATGAAGCCAACAGGACCACATCATCTGCAAATAGCAGAGACCTGATCCTCAGGCCACCAAAATGGATGCCCTCCACACCTTGGCTGCGCCTAGAAATCCTGTCCATAAAGGTTATGAACAGAATTGGTAAAATATAAATAATAAAATAAAAACAAAACAAGCAATGCGGCTAAAAACAGATATCAGTTAAAATCTATGGTAGAAAGGTGAGTCTTAAGCATTCATCCTTTCACACAATGGTGGGGATGAGCTACTATGTAGCCACAGCTGCCCTAGGGCACACTGACAGAGGCAAAGCTGCCGAGCACATGCGCCACCGGTCCCTCCGACCACCACCAGCAGACAAGGTGGGTTAATTGCCTTGCCCAAGGACACAACAGCAGAATTCTCTGTCCGGAGCCGGGAACCTGCAACCTTCCGATTACTGGACGACCAACCTGTTGAGCTACTGTTGCCTACAAATGGATCTCTCACTGTGGCTTTAACATCACATTTCAAGTAACTTCTTCAACAGCCAAGAACTTAGTCACCTAAATGCACCTTTTAGACGAGTTGTTCTATTTCACCAGTTGATTTTTGTTTTGGTTGCTTCGTTGTACGGAGGCAAATTCCTGCAAGTGTACGAAAAATGTCTTGTATATCACATTAATGAGATATCTGATAGTTATTCTTATTATTACGAGCTAGCGAAGTCATAATAATGAGATAGTGTCTCATAATTATGGTGAAATTTTCAGGGCTGTTTAGTAACATGAAATGTGTTTTATCATAGTGTCAATGAAAATACGCCTTTTTCATTTTAAAGTACAAGCTATAATTTAAATGAGTCAAAGAAATAAATTTCACGTGGCTCATACTCATTGGCCACTTCATTACCTGTTACATTTCTTGTTAGCGCAAATATGTAATCAGCCAATCAAGAGGGGGCACCTCATTGCATCTTGGTCTGGTGAAAACAAATACAGTGTTCAGACCCCGTCAATTCTCACTCTTTGTTACGTTGCAGCCATTTGCTAAAAAACTCATTAATGTACACACATCACCCCATATAGACAAAAACCCACTGAATTTTAGAAATTTCTGCAGAGTTATTAAAAAAGAAAAACTGAAAAAGTCACATGGTCCTAATTATTCAGACCCTTTGCTCAGTATTTAGTAGAAGCTCCCTTTTGAGCCAATACAGCCATGAGTCTTCTTGGTAAAGATGCAACAAGTTTCTTACACCTGCATTGGGGGATCCTCTGCCATTCCTTCTTGCAGATCCTCTCCAGCTCTGTCAGGTTGGATGGTGAACGTTAGTGGACGGCCATTTTTAGGTCTCTCCAGAGATGCTCAATTGGGTTTAAGTCAGGGCTCTGGCTGGGCCATTCAAGAACAGTCATGGAGTTGCTTCTCCTTTGTTATTTTAGCTTTGTGCTTAGGGTCATTGCCATGTTGGAAGGTAAACCTTCAGCCCAGTCTGAGGTCCTGAACACTCTGGAGAAGGTTCTTGTCCAGGACATCCCTGTGTCACGGGATGAGTAGGAGATGGTTAGGACCCAAAACAGCAGTTGTGTGGATGGAAGTGGCTTTTTGGTGTCAGAGAAAACTCAGACTGCTTTTAGATGGTAAAAAGACAATAGAGGCTCCAATGACCACTGGTTCTCACCAAAGTCTGCAGAACAGCATCTCTGAACCCCACAGCTGCTCCAGGTGGGCTCCAGCAGCAGAAGCTTACACCAGGTGTCTCTCCTGCACTGAGAATAGGAAACTGAGGCTGCAATCCACACAGGATCACCAGAACTGGATCAGAAGAGACTGGAAAAACCATTGCCTTCTCCGCTGGCCTAGGCTCCCTCTGCCCTCAGAGAACGTCCTGCAACACTAAGGGAAGTCACCTGGCTAGCTGACAGTCAGGGACAATGACCGTTGGGAGGAAGTAGGAGAAGGGTTTTCAACTGCACTTAACATCACATCACTTCCCTTCCCTTGGCTGTATCTGATGCTTTAAGGCAGGGGTCCTCAACTAAGTTTGTTCAAGAGCCAGCGTTTTCTCCCAGCTGACACTGAGGGTCAGATGCTCTTCTAAAAGATAAGATAAGATAAGATAAGATGACCTTTATTAGTCCCACAAGTGGGAAATTTGTTTCGTTTACAGCCAAGTAAAAGCAAAGTAAAAGTAAAAGTTATGCAGCAGAGGGAGAAAAACACTAAAATACAATAAGATCGATTGCAATGAGATAAAATAAAGTCAATACAATAGACAATTTATACCTTAAGAACGGGTTAAAAAATAATAACCATACTAGATACAGCTAGAAATACAGAGTACACTTCATCCAACAGATTTGTTGTAAAGTCTGACAGCAGTGGGGAGGAAAGACCTACGGAATCTCTCTGTCCCACACCTTGGGTGCCGCAGTCTCCCACTAAAGGAGCTGCTCATAGCTGTCAACGTCACCTGCATGGGATGGGAGATATTATCCAACATGGATGACAGTTTAGCTGTCATTCTCCTGTCACTCACCACCTCCACAGGGTCCAGGGGGCATCCTAGAACAGAACTGGCCCTGCGGATCAGTCTGTTCAGCCTCTTCCTATCCCCCGCAGAGATGCTTGCGCCCCAGCAGACCACACCATAAAAGATGGCCGAGGCCACCACAGAGTCATAAAAGGTCTTCAGGAGAGGGCCCACAACTCCAATGACCTCAGTCTCCGTAGTAGGTACAGCCTACTCTGCCCTTTTCTGTACAGGGCATCTGAATTATGAGTCCAGTCCAGTTTATTGTTCAAATGGACCCCAAGGTACCTGTAACTGTCCACAGTCTCAATGTCCATGCCCTGTATGCTCAATGGTTGAAGCGAGGAATGCTTATGCCTACGAAAGTCTACCACCAGCTCCTTAGTTTTGCTGGCATTAATCTGTAGATAGTTCAACTGGCACCAGTCCACAAAATCCTGAGTCAGTCTCCTGTACTCCTTGTCATCCCCATCCTTGATGAGACCTACAATCGCAGAGTCATCCGAGAACTTCTGCAAGAAGCACTGAGTAGAGTTATAGGAGAAGTCCACAGTATAGATGGTAAAAAGGAACGGAGCCAGAACCGTTCCCTGGGGGACCCCGTGCTGCAGGTGACACTATCCGACACACAGCCCTGAGTCCTCACATACTGTGGTCGGTCAGAAAGGTAGTTCAGAATCCAGGTAGCAAAGTGATGATCCACTCCAGCGTTCACCAGTTTGTCCTTCAGAACCGAGGGAAGAATGGTATTGAAGGCACTGGAGAAGTAAAAAAACATGATCCTCACAGTACTCCCAACAGTCTCCAGGTGAGCGAGCGAGCGATGCAGGAGGTGGATGACCGCATCATCAGCACCAATGCCAGTTTGATAGGCAAACTGAAGCGGGTCCAGTGAAGAGCCCACTAGGCGCCGAAGCCAAACCAGAACAAACCGCTCCAGAGTCTTAATCAGATGGGATGTTAGAGCCACCGGCCTGTAGCTGTTAAAATCCTTGGGGCGTGAAGTCTTTGACACCGGAACTACACAAGATGTTTTCCAGAGCTTTGGGACTCTTCCCAGCCTCAGGCTCAGGTTGAAAAGGTGCC